CAGACTCAAAAATGCTCTTGCCTTTTCATGCAGATACAGTCGTCTTTTGTTTAAGACGTCTTGACACTAGAGGTGTTGAAAACTGTCCGATTTTAATTACAGTGCGTGCACTCCCAAGATTGCCTTAGCATGTACTATCTGTACAACGAGGTAACGAAAAAAACAACAAGAACAACACTAAGGCATTCTTTTATTTGTTTGTTTTCCTAAAACTCGATTAAATCCAAACAAGATCCTTCATTTTAAATTGCTCCGCGATTACAAATGTGTTTCGTTTCTACCAAAAACATAGACTCAGTTGCGAGAACAAAATATACATCTAAATTTCAAACTCTATTTTCTTTACTGAGCATGCACTGATTTTGAGCCAAGGATGTAACATATTAGTTCACTTTCTTGTTGTCGAAAATAACGTGTTTGTAAACATGTACCTTTTGGAAATGTAACACCACAGAAGTGGCTTTTTCTTTTGATGGAAACAGACATCGCTAGTCGATGAGAAATGTTTTAGAACTCCATCAAATTTCTCAATTGCTTTTTGTAACACGTGTAGCCTCGGCATATGGATGATGTGGTAATTTCTTCCCACTATGTTAAACACAATTATCTATATCACGAATATTTTTATCATTTTTTTTTACTTGGCCGTGATAGTTATGTTCTTATCCTTTTTGCCATCCTCGACTCCTCTTATAAACAAGAGAGAGGGTTTGTGACTATTTGTTAACGATAACTATTTTAGTATTTTATGTACTGGAAGGTCCCAGTAAACGTTAAGACAGACTGCGGGACAACACAATGCTGCCAGTCTATTTACCGCTCTCCTTCCGCCGTTTCTTTTTTGGTGGTGCTTTGCCCGAACTTTTCATTTTTTCTTGTACCAAGACCTGTCAAGAAATAGATTGTCCTGTTGGGAAGTGTATGAGTCTTCTAACTTGTGCAGTTTCTTAATCGTCATCTGATACAAATGCGGGTCTCATTCACGAAATTCAAAATTGTTTAAGATTGACATGATAATCATTAAGCTGCCCTATAAAATGCCTCATTCGGGAGTAAATTCCGGTCGGTTGAAGCTGGGAAATCACGTCATCAAATCAAGTTTAGCCGTGTCCTTATCAGACATAAAGATACTCATTAAGGTGGCTCCGTAATTAATACAAGAGCATTTAGCTGTGACAAATTTTCCGTCATAACTTTTTCGATTTTAACGCGATGGCTGCGAAACTTTGCAAAGAACAACAGATATCATTCGGCAATAATACGGAATATTCCGATTTCATTGATGGTAAATATTTCTTGAGAAATTAGCGCTTAAAAGGACCCTAATGTTCAAAGAAAATCGCGTCTAGTAAAAAAATTTGCTGATGTTTTTTACTGAAATTTTTGGTATCGGCTTTAATTGATATAATAAATATGCCAGAGGAATATCAGAAAAATCGTTGGAGCAGAAGTCCGTAAGTAAAAGTTGCTCAAAATTCAGCTGTGAAATTGTTCTGGAATTTCAAAAATAAATTACTATCAGGAAGAAGGAGACACCAGTTTGAATTTTCGGGACAAGTAAAGTCAATGTTTGCTAATTCTTAAAACAAAAGTCGATTGCCTATCGTGCTATTCTTTAAAAGGTACTTTTCAGTTTTAGAAGCACTATAAATTGCTCCAAACCTTGCTCTGAGGTCGAATGACTTGTTCCTCGACATTTTTAAAATATCCCTTGGCAGTTTTGGGTCAAACTCCTGCTACATACATTTTGATGTATTGCAATGCATCCTCAACGGCTTTTCCTGCTGTACGCTGTTTGCAATTCAGGAAAAAGGTATTGGGATTGTAAGCTACCTCGTATCAGAGCTCAGATAGAACTGTCCAGCACCTTTGTTTATGACCAGAAAATGAGCACGAGCGGTAGTTCTGCGAGGAATTCGCACCTCACCCAGGTGAAAATGAGAGATTATTTGGAGAGGCGGGCTACCTCACCTACCTCAGGGGTCCCCTACCTCCATGTAAACAGGCCCTAACTCAATATTAGTAAAGATGACAAATTAGAACGTGATTTATTAAAAGCTAACAAAGATATAGCTCCGCAAAGTCGCCGAATTTTACAGACGTTTGTTTGGTGGGAAGCAAGTTTGTGCCCCCAGCATACAACATACAAATTTCCTCAAGATTTCGGGACTTTTTGCAGCATAATCACGCCTTTGACGTATAACCTGTAAACTTGGCAAGTTTGCTAATTTTAAGGCGCTCTTTCCAGCAGTGTTAATTGATATTCGCTAATTGTTCTTTAACAAAACTTGGCAAAAAAATGTGGAAGGGTGTATAGTCTATACCCCTCCCTTCTTACCTCCCCTTCTTTCAACGCTCATACCATATCCCACACAGGGGGGCATTTAGTTCAACTACATCCATTCATTACAAGACATCTTAGGTGATAAATATTCAACCAATTGCATACCGATGTAAAGAAGAGAAGTGCGACTAAGGTTACCATGGTAACGAAATTTGTTGATCTCAAGAATCTCTAGATAGAGACGGCCATTTGCATTGTTGAAACATAGGAAAAAAGTATGGGCTACCGTTTTGGTCCTGAGTATAATCATGCACAGGAAAATCATACATGTTCAATTTTTTCGTCTTTTTTTGCCATATTTGAAGGACCATGCTTTGTTGAGATCCAGTCATTTTGCTACCATGGCAACGTGACGTAACCACTTCTGAACACAAAGGGTCGTGCTTACATACGCTCATGCTTACCCCTCAGCCGATCAGCGCGCGCGTAGTATCGGCTTAGTTGTTTTATAACGTTCGATGCAATGTCCCCGTTGAATTGCGGCTTTTGTACCAGGTAATAGTTTTTTAAGTCCAGCGTCACGTCGCGTTTTAAGACGGCTTTATCACAAACGGGCGATCTAGTTGTTCAAACACGTTGTTTTGGTATCAGTTCCACTTCCTTATCCCTTTTGGTTCCAAGGGTAACCAAGATCAATTTTCTCCTAACAAAATCAGCAGATCATCAAGAGTGAAGGTTATGAGAATTACTAAATTGATTACCAAAGGAAGAACACTTTGATCTTAAACCAAATTCTCTCAACTATTCTTAAAAGAAATGTATGGAGATGAGTCTGGGGAATTTGTATGTGGATCTTGGGGCTTAAAGAATTATTTAGCGGAAACGGACATGTGCCACTAAACAGGGTATTGTTTGGGGGGTCTTGACTTGAGTTTTGAATAGGGTGTGCAAATTCATTTTGTAGAGTCTTTTGTAGGGATGTCGTTTGAAAGTCATCATTCGGTGAGAACACATTCATTAAATTTAGCAACCTGTAGCTACACTCATACCGGTATACTACGATTGTTTAGGACTAAAATTAAGACACGCTGTACTTGTTGAGTTAAATTAGTGTTATGGTCACCTGACCATGTCCAGCTGCATTGTAGCAACATTCATTTTGCTGATTCTTTCCAGCGTTGTAGGATCCTCCCCCTCCTCCACAGGCTTCCTGTAAACCTTTCCCGCTACCACCCCCAGAGTAGCCTCCACCACCACCACCACCTCCTCCGCTTCCATAAGCACCACCACCTCCTCCAAATCCCCCAACAACATTTTTTAACCAAGATCTTCCACCAATTCCTCCCTGAATAAACCCTCCACCTCCTTCTCCACCAGTCCCAATGGAACCTCCAAACTGCGTTGAACTTCGTCCACTGGTGTAGAACCCACCACCGCCACCGCCTAAAATAAAGAAATATAGAAGGTTTACAAATTCCCTTTTCTTTCCGATTCTCAGTAGTTGAAAAGACGGAGAGCACTATCCACCGTACTGTAAGTGTCCTTTACCAGAAAAATATTCAAAAAGGGTTGGCGAACTTCTTGCCGCTGGGGACGCGAGGAGCGAGGAGAGACGGCTGTTTCGCGGGTTAATGATTGATTGGCAATATTTTTTGCTGCGATGCCTAGAACAGGATGAAATTTTTCCGAAACGTTAATATCACGGACTAAAAAAAGTCCAGTTGAAGAAAATTCGGCGAGCTGAATGGCTTACTCTTACTTAAATAACCTTCACACCATCTAAAAATATAGAAAAGAGTGTAGAGTGAGATGTGATTTACTGTGTCAAAAGGCGTTGATAAGACAAGAAGTAAACCTGGTGTGATTGACCTTTATCGGGCTAACTTCAAAAGTGTAAGTTATTTAAAGAATAGCCTCTTTAGTGGAGTATCCTCTTGAATCGAGAACCTTCATGGCCTGGCTCCAGCTTATTTACTTAATGAATTTAGCGACGCGCGTGATTTCCATTCATATAACACGCGCCAAAGAGATTTGCTCCGTCTGCCGCTAGCTTGGACAACTATTAGTACCAGGGCTCCTTCAGGTTCAGCGGAGCCAAGATCTAGAACACGCCTCCTCTGGCGCTGAGGGGCGAGCATGATTTAAATAAGTTTGGGTTTGGGCTAAAAAGGCACTTAAGATCCAAGCCAAATTGAGCCTCCAATACTTTCGGTATACTTAGTTGTTCCAATGTTTTTTATCTGTTTTCTTTTAGTTTTCATCAGGGCCCCATTCAAACCAGCCTCACTGAACTGGGCACCCCTGAATAAATATTGTTCAAAATAAATAAATAAATAAAATCGAAACTGATGGTCATAAGATTAGTGCTTTTCTAACAAGGAATATATCTGATTGTAGACTAGCCGCTCAATACTTTAATTACTGAATGCTGAGAGAGTTTTTATAGGCTGATAATTACTGGGGTCTGTACCATCTTCACTCTTATACACTTTAATTCTCTCACCTAAATTTGTACTCTGGCCAACCTGTGCTCCCTGACCACCACTGCCTCCTGCCAATGACAGGTGCCCAGTTCTCCCTGTTGTCGCCGTCGTTGCATCACATCCAGTATATCTTGTGTTGGAATAATTCACGCCTCCTCCTCCACCAGCCACTATCAATGGCGTGTTACTTCCATTCACCACAAACGTACCTCCACCGCCTCCAGCAGAATAAGTTACATTGTTAATTCCACCCTCTTGACCCACGAGTATTTGAATTGTTTCGCCTTGAGATAAGTTAAAAGTCCCTCCATTCTAGCACCTCTTCCACGAAATATGCCCCCCGCTACTTCTCGTGTCGTACCCCCAGCAGCTCCTATTGCCTCTATTCTGTAGTCGCCTGTGTACGGCACGGTCCAGCGTTGAATACCGCTGTGCAACGTAACTTGACCGTCATGATCCTGTCCCCTGTAGTAACTACCAAGGGAAGTTGGGTGAAGTCTCCCACTCGCGCCGAGGTTTGTGAAGACAGCTCGGAATGTTACTGAATAGTTTTGAAAGTAATCAATAATAATAACTTAATAATAATAACAACAATAATAATAATAATAATAATAATAACTTATCTGACTTTTAATGACTAATCAATAAAGAGGGTCTCTTAAAAGCAACATAGCAAATCGACAACAATTTTTATGGGTCTATACTTTTATCGACCATAGAAATGACGTGAAAACGTTCAAGTGGAACCACGAGCCGCGGCCGAGTGGTCTCACTACAAAGTTTTGACGTCCATTTAATTCCGTTGAAGTTTCTCGGAAATCGCTTGGCGGAAAGAGAAAACAAATGGCGCCACCATCACATCATTTTCATGGTTTGTTCTCTTATCGAACATAGCTCTCAACCAATCAGCGCACGAGAATCCGCTCAGTTATTGTAAAAAACACATATACTTAGTTCAATAAAGGCAACATTGGCAATGTGTCATTGACAATTGGGCATTAGGGATTTAAGCGTATGGAACTCACTGAAATGATTTTCTTGCGGTGACCTCCAAACAATTCAAGTGCTCAATTTCCAATGCCCAAAGTAACCTTTATTTATGAATGGCCATACCCGATGCTTATATTTTTCAAAGGCCCTTTTGAGAGGCTTATTTTTGGAGGGGCTTATGTTCGGAGGGGCTTATCTATGGAGGGAAATGTGCGTTTCAAAATCGATTCGGCTAGCCTTATAGTTGGAAGGAAATTTACCGTTTTTCCTTTGTTTTACTTTGTATATGAGGGCAATTTCCAAGTACAAGCCCCCCGGGGAGCTTATATTTGGAGGGGCGATTTTGACTAAGGGTTTTTTGCGTTACAAGTTTGGAGGGCTTATGCATGGAGGGGCTTATTTTTGAATTTTACGGTAACTATAGCCCACCAAGCCCCATAGCGGTCCCTGCTTTTTAAGCAAGTGTGTGCGTGCTATATGATTAATACTAGCAAACCGAAGGCCTGGGCGGAATGGGTTTTGTTTTACTGAATCGGCAGTAAGACATTACGTTTTAAGCAAAAGGGGAAAAGTAGCATGTTTTAAAAATATTTTTACAGGGAATGTTATTGCTCACACGAAAACGTTTGTTTTTTTTTACCGGCAAGTACACATTTTGTACCATTTCCTGTATATTTAGCTTTGCATGCACAAGAATACGATCCTTGGGCATTTGTACACACAGCGTTCACATCACAGCAGTGAGCGTTGTTAGAACACTCGTCTATATCTAAAATTGTGCAAAAACACATGTTAGGGTATATCTTTTAACATAAAAGAAATAAGTTTCCCTGGCAGAGCCAAAGTCGACTCTTTCATTAGTTTTTGACTAAGTTTTAAATGAACTCAGTTTTTTTTTTTCGTTGTTGCGTGGTTTTATTCGTGAAAGAGTGGCTCTAGACAGGAAATCCCTGTGAATTAACTCAGTGTGTCAGTTACCTTCCTCGCCTTCCACCCCTTGGTTTTCTTTCCATCCCTACCCATAGGACAAAAGACAACAAATTTGAAATCAGTGTGCACCTAGGCTTAACCCTGTCAGTTTTGATAGGTACAACTTCCATCTGGCTCTAAATTAATTGCATTTTTTTCTGATCGTAGAGTTCAGAGTGATATCTTTAAGGTGTGTCTGTGAGATGTCGGTATCTGCATAGTCAGAAAACGAATAAAGCTCCACGGCTGTTGTTTTCTAAGGCCATTAATAATTCAAGAAGAACATCTTTAGACAAGAAGTTTCTATAACTTTACTACATGATAGACTTTTTCCTAGTTTGACGGCGTAATTATAGGTTGAACACCTTCACGCAAAACATCATTCCAAGTTTGTTTGCCATACGTTTTCAGCTGAATAAATCACCCCAGTTTTTTGCGAGGGAGAGACCTCTTTCTTGATTGGGCTGTGCCTCACTGCCACCCAGTATTAAAATTTTGTTCTTTTGTGGTTTACTAGTGTCCAAGTTAATTTTTCAAAAGCTAAATACATTGATGCATAGATCAAGTCTAGTACTACTTCTGATACTTCTCTTCTGATTTTAACCGGCATTTTTCATTATTTCCTTACCATGACATGTTTTTCCGTCCCCTGAATATCCAGCTTTACATGAACATTTGTGTGAGCCCGCGGTATTATAACAAAGAGCGTTGACGTCACAGGTATGAGAGTTAGAAGTACACTCATCTAAGTCTAGAACCAGACAATCAAATGAAACAAAGAATGCTGAATAGTATTATCACATTTCATCACCTCTTCAGGAAAAACGGCGCCCGCATGTTATCAAGTAATTGGCTCCTGGTTAAGGCTGACGTTATTCCAGGGCGGTGTTTTCTATTGAAAACTAGTAAATACGGTAACCGTTATAACTAGACGCGAGAATGTTGTTGTCACCCTAAGTCTCTGTGGCACACTTTTTTAAGCTAAAATGTCAACAAACCAACCCCCCTCCCTCCCCCACACACCCTCTTACCCCGGCGCTTTTTCCAAGGGGAAAAGCCCATTCGATTGGGCTGTGTCGCAGGCAACCCAATCAAATATCATTTTGTATTCTTTTTTAGTTTACTGGTATCCCCGAATAGCTTTTTAAAAGCTAACTACCCTAACGCTTAAATCAACTCAGTACTTCCTGTGCTACTAGTATTGCTTTACCATAACATGTTGTTCCATCCCCCGTATATCCAAGTTTACACAAGCAGGTGTGTGAGCCCGCAGTATTTTGACAAACAGCATTGACGTCACAAGTATGAGAGTTGGTAGGACACTCACCTAAGTATAAACCAAACAATCAATGAAACGAAGAATAAATACAGTCCTACCCGACCACCCGACCACCTCTCTAAACGGCCACTCATTTATTTTGTCCCTTGGACACAAAAATCCATACATTGACTCTTGTTTAAAACCTCTTTACAACGGCCACTTTCTTCTGTCCCCAAGGTGGCCTTTGTAGAGAGGTTTAACTGTAGTTTTTTTTTTTTTTTTTTTTTATCACAGTGCCAACACCTCTTTTCAACAAAAACGTTGCATGCATCTGTTAAGGCTAACTTACTGCGCTTTTCACAAACATGCGAATTCTGAAGTTCAAAAGCCAACTGACGATTGCGTTTTTCGCCGCCGTCAATCATCTTAACGGACCTCTTAGGAAACAAAACTTTAGTTTAACGGGTTCAAAAGGTCATGGTTTGTGATTTGTGATTGGTGGATTTGGATCCGTTTTGTGTGTTTCTGTGTTTCAAGGTTCGTTTCTTGTGATCGTAATTATGATTGACAGCAGCGAAAAACGCAGTTATGAAGGCGTCTTTTGACCTTTAGAGTTCGCATGTTTGTGAAAAGCGCAGTAAGGTCTTTTTGTTCAAGTGATTTTTTTTTTCTTATTTTGAGTAGACGTAATTCGAGGAGATGAAGATGAACTGTTTGAACTTCGTGAGAGTTGGTGAAGTAAAAGTTCCGAAAGGCAGTGAAACCTTTTTTTTAACAATTTTCTACTCAACAAATGTTTATACGGCCCGAGATCCAACCGCTTACCCTTTTTACATACCATTTTTCACTAAAAAGGTACCCTTTTCGTATACCTTCGACTGACAAATGGTACTCCTTTCAAATACCTTGTTTAGAACTTTGCATCCCTTTTAACTTCTGTAAATGCACTGTCTTTTAAAAAAATCTCTAAAATAGAACGTTTTGTCGACTTTTTAAAGCCATACAATTCATCTGTTCTTTTGGGCCTTTTTACAGACCCAAATGACAGATTTCCCTACCCTTTTATATACCTCAACTGGTCAAATCCCTACCCTTTCATAAACAGCACCTGAAGCCTGCGAACGGTACCCCTTTCGGGGGAAGCCTCCCCGTATAGGCCATCAAAGGGAGTACACCTCTCGGGGTTTGAACAGGTTTTTATATTTTCATAAATTCAGATATTTACCGCATTTGCCTGAAATAGCGTGACCTTAGCCCATTTAAATCCAGTAGAGCGAAGCACAGAAATAAATAAGACAAAGCAGTTTGTTTCCTGTTTCTTTACTCATGGTCATACACTTAAATACTCTTTTTTCGCATGTTTTAAACACTAGAAAAACACAAAAACTGTAACAAATAAATCCCATTGTTCTGTCGTGGGGGGGGATTTTTGACATCTCCAGATCATCCAGTCATCTCAACTCCGGTGTACCTCCCTCCCCGCCTCTCCCCCCCCTCAACCCTGAGATCACCACTGGGTTAAATTGATTCTTCTTCCTTAGTCTCTCACAGTAAATCTCGATTTGTTTTCGGTAGAGAGCGCTAGTTTTAACTTGCGAAGTGGAAATTTTAATTAACATTGTTACTGCTTGTTGAGCCTACCCAACCGTTAAATGCCTCTGCATGATTATAATTTTTGTGAGTAAAGAAGTCAACACCCGTTATTGTTTTTTTGCGTGGTTAGAGAAAGATTAAAATTCTAATTTGCATGGTAGCTACAATGTATTTTTTTGTTTAGTAATAGCGCAGTCGAATGGCGTATACCACAACTACCGGACGAATTCTATAGCTTGCGATGAGGCGATTTTTTCGTTGAAGCGAAAAAGCCGGGGGTTAAGGTTACATTTATCGTTTAAAAACAAAAGCTACAACCATTTTCATCAGGAGAGATGTGCTCCGTCCACATTTCACGCGCGTTTAAACAGCCTAATATGCATGTTAATGACGTCTTGTACCAAATCGATTGCATTTGCCTCTCTCAAGAATAAGTAGCCCTAGTCAAAATTCTCTACAAAAACCAAATTCCGTCGAGATAAGTATCGAGAAACATCTAAGGAGAACCATGGAGCAACCTTAGGGGTCATGATAAAACGCTGATCCGTATAGGATTGAGTCCACGGGGTCAAAAATATAAAAATTATCCACCTTGTATCCATGCTTATCGGTCAGGCTCAGGTCAGGTTAACTGATTGGTAAACAAAAATGACGGTTACTCATGTAATTTGTTGTTTATCTCAGTAATTTTCCATCAAAGTAACCGATATTGGCTAGGTTTTGTTTATCTGGTTAAAGAAAACTATCTCGGCATTGGGTGCATGCATGCCTAATGAAATCGAAGGCCGGTGATTTTCGGCGAGAAAACAGCTTGTAAATCCGTTTACCTTGTGTTGTTGTTTCCTGCTTCGGAGGGGCTGAACCTTCTCCATCCGCTATCTTCATTATGACCAAAATCAAAGCGGCAACAGCGATCAAGAACGTTACCATAATTACAGTCAACATGAAGAGCCTCATTCGCCGGGCTCTTAAGATTTCAGCTCTCAGAGCCTTCTGCAGCTTCTCAAACTCTGTTGTTGCGAGCTGCCCCTTCGTGCTTCCTTTGTAACTATACCCGTTACTAGCTGTTTGCACCTGAACATTTGTCGCTGCCTCTCCGACAATAATGTCATCGTATGCTTCTTCAACGTTGCCAGTTTGAGTGGCTCCTAGCTCTAAATAATACTCTTCTGCATTTACAGCTGGCGTCATATACATCTTGGAACGATGATCTTGTAACTGTTACTTCCCTTTCCCTTAGCTAGCTGCGCTTGTTTCGAAAGTCGACTATTATGTATTGTACAGAATGCACTCCCCCATGCCTTGAGGCGGAGTTAGCAAACTACAACTGAAATTAGTCAACCGATTGTCACACCAACAACCGTACGAGCGCTTGTGTATCATTTGTGACGTCATTGTTTTTTAACCTCAGAGGATGAGTTCGACTTCCGTTAACAACTAATGCGTATGAAAAGCAAATCATCCAAAACGTATACGTAGCCAAATGAAGTGACACTGTCTGAGTGTCCAGAGTTAAGAAAATATCAACAGTGTGCCGGACTGCGTGAAATTTGTTGACTTTTCTTGCGTCACGAATAATTTCTAAAATTTTTTCTCGGTCACGGAAAAATCAAGTAATTCACGTTTCACGGGAAATTGAGAAATAAATTCAAGTATTAATGTTTTCTATTGACTAACCTGTTTGCGGTCCAAAGGCAACTCCTTATAATTACCTTGAAATTTCACTCAATCAGTTTTAGGGTAGCGTAAAATTCCGTGTATGAGCCCCTCCAAATATAAGCGCCCCAAAATGTTAACGCCAAAAACCCTCCGTGAAATCGCCCCTCCGAATATAAGCCCCCTGGGGGGGCTTGTACTTGGAATTTGCCCTCGAATACAAAGTAAAACAAAGCAAAATTGGTAAATTTCCTTCCCACTACAAGCTAGCCCAATCGATTTTGAAACGCAAATTTCCCTCCGTACTTAAGCCCCTCCGAATATAAGCCCCTCCAAAATAAGACCCTCAAAAAAGGGCCTTTGAAAAATATGAGCCCCGGGGCTTATTTTCGGAATTTTACGGTTTTGGTAATGCTTCTAATGAACCAGATACCGTAAGGCAGATTTACACCTTGCAATTTGTCTGCCGAAGTAACCGCCAGTTTACTATAGGAATTAATAATTGAGTCAAGCTCTTTGCCTAAAGAAATTCTTCGACAATAAAATCGGCATAAATGATAATAAACATCGGTTCACGCATAATTCCAGCCCCACTGTCACGATCGAGCGCTTAAGGAAAAGTGTCTTTGGATGAGCTATTGCGAATCACAAATAAATAAGTCCACGACATGCGCTATGCGACGCGAGGAAAGTTACGTCATTATTCCGTGTTATCACAAGCGTTCTGCTCGTTTGGAAAATAATTTATTGCCTTAATTCAAGAATTGGAATTGGAGATCAATCGAACAAATATTCCAGATTACTCTTTGTATTTCCAGTATCACCGAATACGGTCCGGGAAGCACCCAATGTGTGACTCCGATAGAACTCTGGTCCCTTTTCCACTTGAATTCTTCTCTCTTCTCCCTTCCTCTCTTTCTAGCAGGCTGCAGGGAATTTGTTGTTCAAAAGTTGGATAGCGCTATCCAACGGATAAATCACTACCCATCGCATAAGTAGTAGGGAAACCGATTAAGCTATCCACTGGATAGTGATTTATCCGGTGGATAGCGCTATCCAACGTTTGAACCACCGGGGCCAGTTTTCTTTGTTTACAAGTTGAAACTGCAGGATGTATTTAAAAAACTAAAATGCTATTACATTCCCTTTGTTGCATAAAGAAGAACTTGGCACGCCGTGTATCCTTGTATTAAGAAAGTGGGAACGCTGGTCCCTTTTCTCTCAATCCCCCCCTCCCCCCTTTTCCTTTCCTCCCCAACGCTTTTCGACGTCGGGTACGCAGGCTACAGGCAGATGAACTAGACAAGTCTTTTCTTTGTCCCTGTTATTCTTTGTATTTTATTAACCTTTTTAATTGACACCTTTACATTCTAATATAATGCTGTTACATTTGTTGTATGAAGCGCGCAGAACTCAGCACGATAATCCTTGTATTAAGAAAATCGGACACTAAAGTTTGACCCCCCTTCTTCGACACCATGCTGAACCCTAGCTTACCCTGAGTAGCTAGCGGTTTTGTTCGTCGAACGCGCAAATGAGCGCCAAAGCAGCGAGGAAAATGGGCAGAAACTACACTCGTTCGCTTTGAGCACGTTTTCGCTGCTACTCTGCTAATTTGACAAGCTCTCTCGCAAGCGAACCGCCAGCTACGCAGGCTGAAAATATTCAGGTTTAATTAACCTGGTGTTTTTAGGAACTTACTCTGGAACTTACTTATAATACGACCCTTCATTCAATCGCTACCGCAGTAGCGGTTGCACGAGTTATCTGGGGTGCCATTGAGATAGTAAACATACTATTCACCGCAATTTCTAACTTGAATATATTTGAAGGAGAAACAGCACCGATTACTAACGTGGAAACAGGCCATCCTGGTGACCCGTCCATCTGCCACTGAGGGAAGCTCTCCTTTCATCCAGCCGTTCCCACTACTGTTGCAGCTCCAGTGTGGTGGGCATGTAGTTGCCATCAGTATTCCTGCCTCGCCTTGAAACCGAAACCACCCAGAACAATATCTGCATCACATTCGACGCCTCTTTTACCATAATTTACGTTTCGGTCAGCACTCGTCAAGTTTTTGTAATTTTGACATTCTAAAAAAAAAATAAACGGAAAAGCCGTAAAACAAAGAGGGTTTGAAAAACTGAGAAATGACAACGCCCTAGCTTTCTGTGGTAATATACCTGCGTTTCGACTGTAAGTGACACAACTACTTGTCGCCATCATATCCTCCTCATGATTGCCAGCACAGCGAATCATACAATTACCAGTACGAGATCACTGTGAACAGTTACTATGATCGCCCCATGTCAGGAAGTCTAGGACAGTCCTGGATTCTGGAGGCCACGCTGTGGATTCTGGATCATTTGTCGGATTACTGATTCCCAGCTAAAAGTTGCTGGTTCCGGATTCCACCAGCAAAAAATTCTGGGATTCCGGAATCCGGTACCCTTTTAAGCTAGAAACTGAATGGAGTAGTACAGGAGCTGCTCGTAAGGTCTCTCCTGACTGGTCGCAGAAAACAATGACATGTCATTCTTTCAATTGTTTTTGTATTGTTTGGGGTCAAGGTTAGGTACTATTGGTGACTTCTCGTCAGAGCAGCTGCTTCATCCCCACTGAATGAATTGACTTATTTTGCTCGTTTTTTTGCCAATGCCTAGTATTAAAATTTTGAGTAACTGTTAGGTGGGGCGTCTATCAGACAAGGGGCGTTTATAAGAGTGGGCCGTCAATTAGATTATGTACGGTAGACACGATAAGTTCTTTTTACTAGTTCATTAACCTTACCATCGTTTAAGCCATGTACTTGCAGGTTCTTTAGTTCTGAAAAAAAAAAAAAAACAACAGCAACAACAACAAAATGTTAAATTCAGTATTAAATCGCTGGTCGGTCACAATTCATTTAACACTAACAGCTCTATTTCAGCTTGATTTGTGGATGAAATATTATGGTGTTACCATTCAAATGAAAGCTCTTCAGCACTGTATTTATTCAGTCTGTATCCTATTGTGTTACCATTCAAATGAAACCTTTTCAGCAGTACTTTCACATGGTACTATTTATTTAGTATGTATTTCTAACTTTGAGTCTGTGGGTGAAATCCTGTAGTGTTGCTATTCAAATGAAAACGAGCAGTCTATGCTTTCCTTTTTTTTTTTTTTTTTAAAAAATGATATTGGAGTACCAAACTCTCAGACCATTAACAGCAGTTGTCATTCCACAAATTTAAGACAAAACCGCCATTTCATTCATCCACATTGTAAAACGTGTTACTCTAAGAAAGTTTTTCTGAAATTTTAGTTATTGAATTCCTAGCCAGTTATTTTCATTTTATTCGATTGTTTAAGCCTTAGCAAATTCAGTATTAGTGCAACGGTATTACTTCTGTCCCTCCATCTGTCCGTCTGTCCATCCATCCAATTCGCTGGATGTGTTCAACCGCAGTTTCTGCGTCTTGTTTGGTTTGGCCATGAGCAGATTTAGTTTTTTCACCACAATATCATGATACAATGATATTAAACTTAAAAAGTAAACATAAAGGTTTAAGTTTACAGCAAAATATTGACTCACCTGTGCCCTAATATTTTATTTCTTTTTCCAAAGAATCAATTTCAGTTTCCAGTTCTGCGAGAAGAAAAAATGTCTTGACAATTACAATGAACCACTTTGTAGTGAAAAAAATCCTTAATCTTCCATAACAGCATAGGACGCTTCATAGGTGTTTGTGATGATTTGTTTTTATAGATACATACAACTTGGATGAAGCGCAAGTCATCATGACGGCTATCATTGTTCTTTGCTGAGGCAACCTAGCAAGATCTACAAAATATCTCTTTTTCCTTCCTCCCCAACGCCTTTCGACGCCAGCTACGTCAAGCTACAGGCAGATGAAATAGACAAGTCTTTTCTTTGTCCCTGTTCAAGTTTGAACGGTTACATATTGTACAGTACATGTGTTTGACATGCCTCATAGAAACAGAATAGCACTCGAACACCGTGAGAGGATGATCAGAGCGTTCGAAGACGGACAACGAAGATTACTTGCTTGTAGCGGACACCCTTGGAGTCAACAGATCAACTGCAAGAGGAATAGACCTTTTTACCGATACGGCGGCCATATTGAATTTATTTTGAGATTTAAGAAGTATTATGGGATGCCCGGGGGGCACTCGCTCAGTATTTACGCGCGCTTTTTGGGCAAAAAGAGAACTTCACATGATTTCTCGGGAAAAAGGCGATCATTATTACTTCCAAACATGGCATACTATCTTTTTTTTTTCCCATTACAATCTTTTATAGGAAAACTTAAGGCACCTAAAGTTTGACTGCGACGGAACGCTGGTCACTTCCCCCCAATCCCCCCGTATTTTCCCTTCCTCCCCAACGCCTTTCGACACTAGCTACGCAGACTACAGGCAGATCAACCAGACAAGACTTTTCTTTGTTCCTGTTATTCCCTTTATTCTAATCACCTTTACGGAGTGACGCCTTTATTTTCTATAGTCCAGTTTGCTCTGGATATATTTAACTAGCTTATGTTATTACATTCTCAAAAAAAAACTTGGCACTACGTGTATTCCTTGTATTAAGACATTAAAGTTTGACCCCCACCGCCCTCTTTTTGCCACCATGCTCAACCCTTAGCTTAGCCTGCATAGCTGGCGGTTTAATTGTCGAGCGCGCAAATGAGCGTCAGAGCCGCGAGGAGAACAGGGTAGAGACAACTCTCGTGCGAGTGCATGCTCGTCCCCAGAGCCTCCTGTTCCTTCAGCCGGCGCGGCCTAAGTACGAGGACCAGGAGGCTCTGGGGACAAACTGGGGGACACAGGATTTGAAGTCCTAGATTTTAAGACTTCCGGTCATTTCCGATTCAAAAGTAAGTTGGAGGATTTTCTTTTAAAAGCTTGGATTCACCTAAATTTACAGTCATGGACACTTCGGCAAGAGCAAGTGAACGCTATTAGAAACGTTGTAGAAAATCAGAAATGAACGGAAGTCCTAAAATCTAGGACTTCAAATCCTGTGTCTCCAGAGCCTCCTGGTCCTCGTGCTCAGGCCTCGCCGTCTAAGGGAACAGGAGGCTCTGGGGACGAGAATGGTTCGAGTGTGCTTCGCGCGCCTTTTGCCAGCTACGCTGCTCATTTGCCTTCCCGCCGATAAAACACCGCTACGCAAACCTTGGCTTTAATTAACATATTGGTATTTTTAGGAAATACTTATATTTGTACCCTTTATTCAATCGCTACCGCAGTAGCGGACGTAGCACTTGTTATCTGGAGTGCCATTGAGATAGTAAACATAGTATTCACCGCAATTTCTAACTTGAATATATTTGAAGTAGAAACAGCACTGATTATTAAATTGGAAACAGGCCATCCTGGTGACCCTTCCATCTGCCACTGAGGGAAGCTCCCCCTTCATCCAACCATTCGCACCACTGTTACAGCTCCAGTTTGGTGGGCATGTAGTTGCCATCTGTGTTCCTGCCTCGCCTTGATACCGAAACCACCCAGGAACAATATCTGCATCACATTCGACGCCGCTTTTACCATAATTCACGTTTCGGTCAGCACTCGTCAGGTTTTTGTAATTTTGACATTGTAAAAAAAATAAACCGAAAAGGAGTAGAACAAGGAGGGTTTTGAAAACTGAGAAATTACATGACAACGCCCTAGATTTCTATAGTAATATGCCTGCGTTTCGACGCCACTTAATGTGGCCATCTAAGCGAGACAACTACCCTGTTTATCGGACAGGGGCGTTTATAAGAGTGGGCACGATTTTCTTTTTAGTAGCAGTAACCTTACCATCGTTCGAGCCATGTACTTGCAGGTTCTTTAACTCTGAAAACAACAACAACAACAAAAAAACAATAACATTAAACCACACACCGCGACTGTTAAATTCAGTATTAAATCGCAGGCCGGCCACTAATCACAGCTCTATTTCAGTTTGATTTGTGGATGAAGTATTATGGTGTTACCACTCAAATGAAACTTCTTCAGCAGTACTTTCACATGATACTATTTACATGTATTAAGTATGTACTTCCAACTTTTGAGTCTGGATGAAATCCTATGGTGTTACCGTTCGAATGAAGCCTTTTCATCTTTACTTTTACATTGTACTAACCACTTATTCAGTTTGTAGTTCCAACTTTTGAGTGTGTGGATGATATCCTATGGTGTTACCATTCAAATGAAACCCTTTTAGCTTTACTTTCAGATGGTACTATTTATTCCTCATGTAGTTTTGACTTTTGAATCTGTGGATGAATCCTATCGTGTGACCATTCAAATGATACCTCTTCAGCAGTAATTTCACGTGGTACTATATTTATTTAGTATGTATATAGTTGTAGGGGTGTGTTCCTTTCGGCGAATCCAGAAACGCATTTTTGATCCGAGATTTGCCGGATTTCGCGGTCGAAAGGAAGATGAAATCCGAAATTGGATTCTTTGGTAACCTTTCGCAAACGCCTGCAAAATGCAATCCATGTCTTGACAGCCTCTCAAGAAATGACATGTTTTCTACTGATTTACAAATTATGCGATTATACCGTGCAGAATTTTGTGGTCGGCAGTTCGAATAGCTACGATGGAACATAAACAGATCATGAAAATAGCGCGTTAAAGTTGAAAATTATCGAAAGGTTTTCAGCCTAGTTTGATCCAGTTTCGTGGCTCGGATTTTTTATGTAGCACGATCGAGTGCCTGTCGCGTCTACAAGCGAGTTTGTAGAAAGAGAGCAGTTCATTTGTCCCTTTTACTTATTTGTGCTTTTAAGCGATCTTTAGCGACAAATAGTCAGCACGTGGATATTGTACTGTACCAGGAACTATCTTCCAGTGTTTTCAGATGTTTTGCGGCAAATGGCAGCAACTAGAAACTCTACGGGAATTCTTCAACTGAATGCCGCTGGATCATCTAACTAATTTCCAATCCATAGTCTGGATTCGGATTCTTCGGATTTCAAATTCAATGATCTTTAATCCTTTTTCAAAAAGGATTCACCAGATCAAAAATCCGGGTTTGGATTTGCCGAAACGAACGCGAAATCCGTTTTAAGCTCTAAAATCCGTTTTTGGATCCACCGAGAGGAACACACCCGAATTTGTGAGCGAAATCCTATGGTGTTACCATTCAAATGAAAACGAGCATTCTATGTTCTCCTTTTTAAAGATAATGGATTTATATGGGTCATGACCGTTAACAGCAGTCGCCATTCCACAAATTTTAGACAAAATCTGGGCGGCCATTTTACCCTTCCACATTGTAAAACGTACTGTTTTAAGAACGTGTTTATGAACGCTTGTGCTTTTTACTTTTTCAGCCATTCTATATTTTAATTTTTAGTCATTAAATTCTTTAAGCCAGTTGCTATCATTTTATTCAATTTCTTAAGTCTTTACAATTCAGCAGAAATACTGCGAAAAGCGTCCTTTCATAAACAAATTTATCCGTCGGTCCATTCATTCGTCCGTCCATCCGTCCGTCTGTCACGCTGGATATGTTCAACTGCAGCTTCTGCCTCTTCTTTGGTTTAGTTATGATTTAATTCGTTGACTTCGTAACAGTATGTTGCACACAACGATAAATTGGAGCAACATAAAGGTTAAAGTTAACAGCTGAACATTGACTCACCTGCGCCCTGATTTTTCAATTCTTTTTCCAAAGAATCAACTTCAGATTCCAGTTCTACGAGAAGAAAAAATGTCCTGACAGTTTGATGTAGCACGCTTTTTATCAACCCAGTAAAAAAACGTAAAACGATTAAGTTGTTTGTGATGATTTGTTTTTATAGATAGAACTCGGATAAAGGGCAAGTGTCAGAATGATACCGGTCATCACACAGGTCATCACAAATCTTTCATGCCGCCCAGCAAGATCTAAAAGAGGCCATTATATGCACCCTTGTTTATCTTTTCCCAAGACCAGAACTGCTTTAAGTCTAACTCGATGGAAAATTTTGATATATGCCCATGGATCAACTACGCTTTGAGTGTTGTAGTAGTTAGTACAGCTATTTGGTACGTCATACCTAGCATCCTTCAATGAACTACCACAGTAACTGCCCCTTTATTCAGCTCGTACCAACCAAGTTCAACATTTTACATTTTATGTTCGATCACTGGCTATCGGACCATGATTCATTAACTGCTAGGCGAGTGCTTGCATGGGACTTAATTCCTGTCTTCAACAAAAGCGTTTTGTAACAGTATACGTCCTTAAGGATACCTGCCCTCTGTAACAAGACGTCGAGTCATTTTGGTCCTCCCAAGTTTTGAATTGGAAAAAAGCTAGAGCTTTAAATTATGATGCACTGCTAATGAGTTTCTGTTCGCCCTCTCTCCAGCTGTTGTATTTTGAAGATATTATCGGAATTGTCATGCCGATTTCCCGCAATCGAGATAAGAAATATTTAGTCCCTTTGGTTTTTGTTAACTAATGACGCCAATTATACATCAGTCTGACTTACAACTGGGAAAATACCCACCGTTAACCTTCGCTTGCAATTTCTTGAGTTCTTGAAAAAAAAAGGGAACAAGATAATGGTGAGCTAAAGTACTAGTCTATTAATTTTGTCAATAATAGTTTTATTCCACGTTGACATGAATGTGTTGTCTGACGATGTTTTCTTCTTGAGAAAAAAGAAATCGAGATAATAGGGGATAATGCACAGAATACTCAGCACAGAAAGAGTCTTTCTCTTTCAAGTAAGCTAGCTACAAATTAAGACAAAATGCAAGTCTCTGTTTGTCCTTCACTTAGACTTTGGTACCATTTTTAAATTTTAGCGCTTCGCGCACATTTTTTTGGAATTCGCAACTCCAATTTGGGCAAGTTGAGCCTTCATTCAAAGATCTTCCCACCCTACTTCCCAGCCGTCCTCAGCGATCGAGATCGCTTGTCACCCGTCAAGCTTAGAAGCTTGTTGAGAGAATTCGTGGTTCCAACCCTTTTTGGCTTTAATTCGGATAGCGCGAATTGGCCTGGGTAAGGCGTCGCCAGTCCAATGGGGCAGTCTTGAGGAAGTTGTCTGCTGTTCTCGCACGCTCCTTATGCAATTTGTAAGTTCTGAAAGCTATAAGTTGAGTGTGAGAGAATAGTGTAATGTAACCAGTACGCTCCAGACAACTTAAGTTGATTAAGGGTTTTCTTTGTTTCCTAGCCATAATTATTTATACCGGGACAATATTATCTGCAACATACATAATTTGAAACCAAACGTATCTAAGGCTTCCTGTCTTGCTTTGAGCATCAAGTGAGAAAGGTGAGTCACTTCAAAGTGAAGCATTTTAAAACACAAAAATTTTGCTGCTGAATGATATGTGTTTGTATATCTTTTTTGCAAGGGTATTGATTATTATGAATCATTTCTTAATCCATCACTTACGTTTCTGCACTTTCCTGCCGCCTTCTGACATACCGACTATGCAGGACATCATAAGAAGAGCTGCTATCACATGAACAGTCTTCATCTTCATACGAATCCTCGCAACTGTCGACGTAAATGGGTGAAGACTGTAGAAACTTGAATTGTAAGACTTTATGGTACCGGTAGTTTTTTCTTTTTATCATAAACATTTTATTATTATCATTGATTACTTTGTAAACTTTTATGAAATTCATGAGCTTTGAAGAGAATTGTTAAGCCGCAAAAGTTTATGCCGACATCAAAAACGTGCACAGTGGAAATTAAGAATAAATTAAATAAAAATAAATAAAAATAAAAAATACTATGAAATGATTTAAACGGAAAGTGCGACAACGATAAGTACAATCTGAAATCTACTAATAAAAAGCTTCACTCAGACTGTCCAACCATTCCGATCTCGTTGCGATTCTCCCGATTTTAAATGGAAATCTTGAATCCTCCCTGCCAATATGCGATCGGGATAAGAAAATCCCCGATTTTGATATCTGTTCTGATATTTTCAAATGAATTCTTATTATACTTATACAAATACACCTTGCAGAATATACCTAACTGAAAGTGATATCCAGAAACTTTATAGAACGGCATGAAATATAAAATAAAATCGAGTACTTGTACGCTCAGTCGTGCACGCTAATATAATAAAAGTAACCATGAAATGACGATCGATGAACAGCAAACATTTTAGACAGAAGTTATCCTCTCAAAACCTTAGAAATGACGTTTCAGAGCATCGAGATTTCAAACTTTTCTAGGGAAGAATGCCCCCACAACCCCCCTTGTGGCTCGTCAGTTTGGTCCCTTACGTGATTCGTCGTCGGTGATTAAAAGGTATCCCGATTTTACATACTCAAAAGGTTGGACAGTTTACCTTCAGTTTGGACAGGTTATTTTGGTTTGCTTTTTATATGCTCCGGGGCCGTCCTAACCTGCGACCACAAAAGAATGTACAAAAGGGTGAGGATTTCTTTGTCACTCAGCACTGTATTTCATTATCGGTATGGAAATAACGGGAAGTCATTACTTTAAGAGAGCCGAGGTGACTATGGCTGCAGCAAATAAATTAAGACCAATTGTTTTATCGCGGTTTGTTCTTAATGTAATCTGCCCCCTAGTCGGGTGGTTTTCCTTACCGTAGCCCGATCAACAGTCACAAAAGGTCTTTTTATGCCGAAGAAAAGAATGGACACTGACTCTAGCACTCCTAAATTTAAGAATGCCGTAAAAAACAAAAACACTTAGTGGAATAATTAATTGCGATCTTTATTTTTAGCCTGTGTACAGACGTCCCCCCTCCCTCAGAAGGAATTAAAAATGTCCTTATAAGTTCTAAAATTAAAAATAGAAAAAAATAAACAAAAAACCTCAGCGGATTATCGAATTTAGGGCCTTTCCTTGAGTTTGTTGTAGGAAAAAAAGGAAAGAAAAGAAAACCCTTCAAAGAATAACTGAGGTCTTTCATTTCCAATACGTGCGGGATCGACTTTGGAATTACAATAAATATGAAAACAAAAACCAAATGATTGTCCAATTTAGAGAACCGTTTTTCATTGCACTATCTTACTATGAAATACTCCCCGGAAAGAAGGTGAGGTCATTCCCATAATTCACCTCCGGCCTGTATCAAGATGGTGATGGCTCGTAATAGCGTCATTTAGGACATAACAGTAGGATATCAAAGAAAGGTACTGCTAAATTGTCAAATAGGACTATATACATACACGCAAAATGTAGAACCACCAGAACAGCCATCAGGTGTTATACGGAACGACTTGCAACGACGATTTTTAACGCAAAACATCATTTCAACGTTGTTGCGACATTGTTTCGAATGCCTGCAATGTTCCAACATTGCTACGCTGTGTTGCGCAAAAAACTCTAAAAGCTGTGTGATTTATTGCTACCGAGATAAAAATTATAACGCCATCAAAACCTTTCTTAGTATAGGTAAATATTATGCAAGAACAAGTCGTTCATAAAAAGGTCGCAGAAATACTAGCGCTTGAACATTTGTTTTCAAAATTGTTAGATACCTTTTTTAGTTACTTATTTTTTTCTTTATTAAAACCGTACCTTTTAATCCGAAATAGGAGCATGAAATAGAATTACCATGCAGCCAATCAAGTGAATAGCTGTACCAACAAATTTACTGTTACATCAGGTTATTTTTGTTAATAGTTTAAGAAAATGTAACCTTTTGGTTCTAAAGTAGATGATTGAGGATGGAATCTAAAATCTTTGTCCCCGATGAAGGTAATTATTTCAAAATCCATATTATGACCTTACCCTTTTCCTTCGGAGGAGGTCACTGAACTCGTTGATTCTAAATATTGTCGTTGAAGGAGTGTTTGATACTGACTGCGCTGCGATGCGTTTGTGCTTTATTACCTCATGCTACGCTGTCAGCCACGGACAAAAATGACAGTTTTTGGAGCCTTATAAGGAACCTTATTGGCCAGAAAGAAGCGGAAATTAGTCGAAAGTACATCTAAAGGTTTCTCGATCGACTTCGAGAAGAACTGCTGCCAGGATGTGAAAGGTCATAATAACGTGAGCTGGCATTGAATAATTAATATCTAGTATCTATGGTGTCGTTGTGTCCACCGGAGCACTACACGTGACCGATTGTCGAGGGGTTAGACTAAAGTAATTATTATTTTTTAAAAGTGTTCTTTGAAGTAAGTCCGTTGGTACAAGCGTTCATTAAAGATGTTACTGCCGTACTTGTCCAAGGTATTGTGACTGTCAGGGAAGGGCATTGTTACATGAAGGCATTTGTATCTATGGTTGCAGAAACGGATGTTTTACCTAAATATAAACATAAGCATGCCATGTCTTTGCAAAATTGAGGGGCAATAGTTACAGTATTTTCTACTACTTATTCTCCAGTTTTTAACTGTTACGCATTTATACTACGAATTGGCGAAAGAATGACTTCCGAGTATTTTTGTTGTTTCTTCGCCCAATCGTTGATTTTATTGGTTAATACTGAAGCTGCCTAACATAACCAGGATAACGCGCCCTAACCCTGAAGCCGACACATAAACGACAAAAAAGTAAAATGTATGCCTTTTCTCCCTAACAAAATATTAGCACAACCCCAAAATGCTGCTTTGCCTGAGCTATGTTCACTGGGCAAATTCAACAATTGGAGTAAATGGCTACGGGCAAAATCCCAGCTCAATTTATTTTTTTACAAAAATTCCTAAAGGGTATCCACTGTAATAATTAATGTTAATAAACGCCACCCCACAAGCCCCCACGGACACAATCTATCGTTTGTTTTCCCTTAGGTCGTCTGACGGAACTTAGTCTCAAGAGAGTTCGGCCATTGTCATTTTAAAATAGTGTGGTTACATAATCACGTTAAAAATGTAGAAATATGGGAATTGATAGACGCAGTTGTGAGACAAAACAAACAAGCTTAAGAGGTCATCAAAAAGAACTTACAGTTCTGACGGATGCTCAGATGACCTTGCCGTCTTGACGCGTGAGGTTGAGGCCTTAAAATGCGGTAACGTGAGTTAAGGAATGCAATAGCTGTACGTAAATAGGGAAAATAATACATATATAAACGGCAGGTGTTGAAACCGCAAAGGGTAAATCAAAATAGCATCCTAATAAAGCCTTCTGCCTCGGTTGGCGGCTTAGAAAAACTAAGTGAAGTGTTAGAGTCTTGAAAGGTTTTGTTGTCGGTCAAGTGGAACATTAAAGATTCAGTCACTTGCCATGCAAATGGTTCTCTTATCGCGGGGAGTGAAATTACAGGAAGGATTGACTGTCAATGCAGTTGAGGAAATTACAGTTTTATACCATTTCGGTTTTCGGAAGTACGCTCACCTTTCACCTTGTATATGGTTCAACAACAACAACTGAGAACAACAAACATTGAATTAAACATGACAATGCTTGATACCCATTATTAGCTTAAAGGGAACCTCCGCTCATAAAGAAAATGTCTTCCAAAACTGCTATATAAGCACCCAAATAAATGAGTACAAATCTTAGCGCACTCTAGTTTGTATCATATTAGTTTTGATATTGGTTCTTAATAAAAGCGTGACTTTTAGATTAGCAACAACGCGTATTTGACATCGGGAATTTGTCTACCGATGGTCAGTCCAGTGATAAAAAACGCTTAATTGAAACTTGGAATATCTGTCATTCATTTGTCGCCCCTCTCTTTAGCGTTACGCTCCTTTACTATATTTAAGTGTAAAGTGTTTAATACATTTTAATGTTGTTAAAACAACTATCTCTTATATACACAAGTACACCAAGGTTTAAAATTTTAGGAACTAGTTTGACCACACTACTTGCTAAGTTACAGTCCGTAATCTATATTAATGTTATAGTCACTTGACCATGTCCAGCTGTATTATAACAACATTCATTCTGCTGATACTCTCCAGTATTGTAAGATCCTCCCCCTCCTCCACAGGAGTCACCCCGCTGCTTCCCCCAGAGTAGCCTCCTCCTCCTCCAGTACCTCCTTCGTGTCCAAAAGCGCCACCTCCCCCTCGAAACCCGCCTACAGCATGGTAAATCCTGGCTCTTCCACACACTCCTCCCTGAAGAAATCCTTTGCCTCCTTCTCCGCCATTCCCCATTGAGCCTCCGAACTGCTTTGAGCTTCTTCCACTGGAATAAAATCCACCACCGCCTACAGTTCAAAGCCAAGTGCCTGCTGAAACTAAACCTAGGTCCAATTTTCCCGAGTGCAGAATTGGTTTCAATTTTCTAAGGCACAGTCACCTAAGCTAACACCGACGAAGCGTTTTTATGCCTGGTACGCGACCACATCCCTGAATTCTGCCTGTCAACACTATCCGGAAATTGCACAATCATACACTTTAGCGGCACTGATAAGACTATCCACAACTACGCATAATCTTTTAACGTTTAACAGAAGCGAAATATCATCAAATAACTCGGAAAAACTCAGCCTTTTGGCAGATAACACCTCTACACATTTATCTTACACTCGTCTTATTCAGGTTCCAAGATTCACAGCCACACGGACGGCAGTAGCCTGCGGGCACGCTCTCTCTCGCAGTCTAGTCTGCAGACCAGCATAGACCCAGTTTTTTCACGCCAGAAAAAGTCTTGGTTCGGGTCAAAGTTTGTCACCTGCATTTTTGCTTTCGTTCAAGAGATTTGAGCCCTAGACCCTTGTTTCCGAGGCCAAAAACTTAGAAAAGCAAATAATATCTTTTTTTGTTCCATAAATTTACATTGCTGCTAGCAACGTGAGTGAAAAGGTTCTATATATTTTTTGTAAAGGGATTGATTGTTATGATTCATTTTATTCCGTCACTTACGTTTTTGCACTTTCCTGCCTCCTTCTGAGATACTGACCATGCAGGAAATCATAAGAAGAGCTACTATAACATGAACAGTCTTCATCTTCATACAGATCTTTAAAACTGTCGTAAATTGGGGAAGACGGTAGAAGCGGATAAGAATTTTAATGAGGTAGTTTCTTCTTTCATCACCAAACACTGCCAGGAGCTGGACACTATCTTTTTTTGAAAACGTTCATGAAATTGAGCTTTGAAGAAGCAAAAGTTTAGGTCAGCACCTAAAACGCGCACAGTGGAAATTAAAAAACAAAACAAAACAAACAGATATTAATTAAATGTAGGTAAAAACACTAAAAAATAATTTTAAAATGATAAACGAATAGTTTAATGAAAACGCAAAAGACCCAGAGACTTAAGACGTTAAGTGCGACCAGGAGTAGAACAATGGAGAGGCCGGTAACTGGTAATTAGCTTTACTTTAGACAGATTCTTTGGGTAGGCGTCTTTTAAACTCTAGAGCGGTCTAACATGAGCAAAAGAATAAGATTGTTTGAAGAAGACGAGGATTTCCTTGTCGCTCAACATTGTAAAGGTAATCTAAGGAAAACAACTCCTCAACTGGTAGCTCGGATCGTATATATACCATCGTTATGCGGCCGCAAATTCCATGGTACACTGATGAAATTCGACATGCTAAGACGAGAGCGTCGAATGCTGAAAGACAATGGAGGTTATCTAAACTTGATTCCGACTTGTTTGCCCTCAAATTCAAGCGCATATCAAGCAAAATCAGTCCCAGGATGATGGCCTTCCACCACGACTGCATGCCCCAACTTGGAGAGTATTTTGTTACAAAAACTGATACAGTCTAAACAAATTGATGCTGATTTCACTGACTTAACTGTCCCCGAGGCGTTTATTTCTGTTGGTAATACTAGTAAGGTAAATTCCAACATTATCTGAATTAAAGACTTAGTCTGGAAACAACGATAAATTGCTTATGCAGAACTCGGCGTTGACGTCCTGCCCACTCGACCCCATGCCACTTCACACTTCACTTCGTTATCAAATCAATGCTCTACTTTCGGTGGCTACTACATGGATACATACATACATACTTTATTGTTACCTCCCCACTAGGATCTTTTCAGGAACAATACTACGATCATAGACAAATCATTAGAAGCTGGACTCTTTACCGATAGTTGTAGGTAGGCGCTTGTATGTTCATTACTTAAGAAGCGTGGTCTTGATGTTATCTTTAAGAACTTCAGACCTGTCAGCAATATGGCTTTCCTGTCGAGCAGTTTTTCGTCAGATACATGATCACATGGCTGATATGGGCGTATAGTCGATTGCGCAATCGGCTTTGAGGAAGAACCACAGCACTGAAACAGCTCTCCTAAAAGTAAAAAAACGACATCCTCCTAAATATGAATAACTAGCATGTAACTCTCTTCGTGCTACTAGATCTTGGCGCGGCTCTCGATACAGTTGATCACGGTATCTTGCTGGAGGCACTCAACGAGCTAAAACTTGGAGACAGAGTATGAGTGGTTTTGATCTTATTTTTCAGGGCGCTGTCAGCGGATATCGGTGCGTGGTTGTCAGTCTGAGAGTTTTAACGAGAACTGCGGAGTTCCGTAAGGCTCCTTTCTTGGGCCCCTCTTGTTTACCATCCATACGAGCTCGCTACTAGATGTCGTTCAAGATTATCTTCCATCCATCCATTTTTACGGTGATGACAACCAAATTTATGTCTCCTTTAGTCCTGCAGATGAGACAGGTCATTCACAGACAGATGCTATTGCTGCTTTCGAGGGTTGTATTCAGGTTATCAGGAACTGGATGCATGCATGATAATAAACTATTACTGAATGCCTGACCAGAGTTCCTTTTGATTAGCACGAAACAGCAGCTCCCCAAAGTAAATATTTCCCGCGTCCAAGTTGGAAATGCGAATATACAACAAATGTAGCTCCGCACTCTCCTGTTAAAAATCTTGGTGTTTGGTTTGACTCAAACCTTTCTACGGTTGACCATATCACTAAGTCTAGTTCTGCAGCGTTCGTTCATCTCTACAACGTTTAGAAGAATTAGAAAGTACTTAGCTAAAGAATGCACAGAAACACTGGCACACATTTTTATATTAAGCTACCTAGACTTTAGAAGGGTCTCTTATTTGGAGTTCCCGAATGCCATCTTTACAAATTACAAAGAGTTCAGAATGCAGCTGCGCGCCTGATATTCCAGGAGAGCAGATTTCACATCTGACATCTCTGCTCAAGTCGCTGCACTGGCTGCCGGTAAAATAGTATAGTTTTTTAAAATGTTGTTAATCGCTTTCAAAGCAATACGTGATTTTGCTCCAGCCAACATACGTGTAAGTGAACTTATTTCTGTTGGAGGCACTGCTTGAAGACCTAATCTACGTTCTAACAAATCTAGTTCTTGCAAATCGCTCGCCACGCTTGGGGATCGTTCGTTCATGTGGCCTCCCCGAAACTATAAAAACGATCTACCCTGTACATTGAGAAACGTCATATTCTGTCCAAAGTTTCAAGAAAGCCGTAAATACCTCTTTATTTGCAAAAGCTTTTTATATCTATGTTTTTTTCTTATATAGTCAGTCAATTTTAATTTTTTTAGCTATTTATCACTGAATAATGCCCAATTACAACTAGTCCTATTGAAAGTTTTACTTTTGCCTATGTATTATTATTATTATTATTATTGTTATTATTATTATCATCATTATCATTATTGTTATAAACTGTAATCGTCGCCACCATGAATTTCTACGCTCGCCATTCCTCTAGTTCTTAGTCCTTACGCGGTCTAAGCAATGTATTGGTTTTGAGTAAGCCAATCAGATTACAGGAAAACAAATACCTAGGTGTGTTGTATTTCTTCATCGACAAGAAAGGGAAGTCATTGTTTTTAGAGTGCCTAGGCGACTATCGTTACAGCAAATAAAATAAGACAACTGTCTTTTTATCGCCCATTCAGTTCTTTTGAAATCTGCCCTTATGGGATGGTGTTCCTTACCGTAGCCCAATCGACTGTCACGAAACGTCTTCTTGTACTGTAGAAAAAAATGGATGCTGACTCAAACCCCCTTCCCCCTTAAATTTGACCACGTTTTAGAATGTCGTAAAAAAAAAATTGGTGCAATAAATAATTGAAATTCTTTTTCTTGCGTACAGGAATTAACAATTTTCTTATAGTTGTACTTTGAGCCTTTACTTAATTGTGGATGTCGCAGAAAAAAAAGAAAACCCGGCAAAGAATAATTAGAGGGTCTCAATGGGGTGGTGGCTTTTACGGTTAACGACAAAAATTTTGGCTCTTTTACGGCTATCGGTTAATTTTTTTCAGTTACGGTTAACAAAAAAGTTAAAAATTAACTTCTTTTGTTTCAAAAAGTTAAATATTAATCAGCCTGTAGATTTTGTATCTTTAAATCAAAATAAAGGTCTTTGGATCATCTCGGGATGAAACAACCTATTCTTTTGAAAATTTTAACTTATGATAGATCATACTTTTTATAAAGTATTTCTCTTCGAATATAATTTTACTCATAGAAATGTCAATAGTCAATTTAAAAATAATCTTTGTGAAAAAGAAAAAGCAGACACGCAAACGCCCAACTCAAGGCCGGGCGCGACATTCATTATAACAGAAATGGCCGTTTTCACACTAGAGACGGATTATTTGTGTGAGACGGGTTATCCCTTTGATGATTCGCGTCAGATAGGTAACACTTCTTAACTCGAAAATGGAATAGTTAGTAACAATCCGCCTGAAATTATCCGTCAATTTTTACGGACAGTTTGAAGACGGGATTGTCCGTTCCAAATAGCCTGTGTACAACCGCCCCCTCCCCTCAGAAAAAATCGGAGAAAGGGTGCCTGTGGGGAGGGCGTGACTGTACACAGGCTAGCCTCAGACGGATAATCCATTTCTAGCTCTGGCGTGAAAACGGCCTATAACAAAATTCCCGCGTCCAGTGTTTTTAATGATAGCGAAGGACTGTACGGAACGACTGTCTGCCATTGCCTTGTCCGTGGGCCTCATTATTCCGCGCGGCTAATGCGTTTCGGGTCACGTGGTCCATGCGAGTTCGCCACCAAAATACCTTGACCGAGATCGCGTGGGAAGACGCCGTACAGGGACTGGGCATGGCAATATCTACCGTAGCGACGTCAGAGGAAAAGAGGGAAATGTTGTTCATCGGCAACATGTTTTACAAACAGTGACATCTTTGCGTGTTGTTTCACTAGTATTTCGAGGGCTCGACCTCCTGAAAATCGCAAATATTAATCCCCACTTTCGCTATGGGAAAAATTAGTTCCCCGAGAGAGTGGCGGAAATGGAGCCTAGGTCTTGGTCAACACCTAAAAGGCGCTTCGCCTAAAGTGCGTACGGAGTCACACTAGCTGGGAAATAAAAAACGCAATCATAAGTGAGGGAATCTAGGGAAAAGTTTCTTTTGCAGTTAACTCTTTTTTACTCTATTTACGGCTAACGGTGAAAATTTTTCAATTTTTATGGCTATCGACTAGATTTTTGGCCGTTTTACGCCTATCGGTTAACCCCATTGAGACCCCCATAATTAAGGTCTTTCATTTCTACCATGCAAGACTTTGAAATTGCACAATAAGACAACAATTAAATAATTGTCGAATTTAGAACCTTTTTTCCTGGGCACCATATTATGGAATACTCTCCTGAAAGAATCACTTTTGTTGGGATGTTCGATGTTCTACTCTCATTATGATTTTGACTATGCAGTAGCAAACAAAAAGTGGATTGGAGACTGCAGAATTCTTTCAAAACATTTAGTAAAACGAAAACTTTTAATTATACGTGTCTAAAAGTCGTGGTGATTCCCTTTCATTTCAGTATAGGCATGCAAGAACAAAATCTTCTATAAAAGGTCGCAGCACTTGAACTCCTGCTTGCAAAATTGTTAGGCACATTAATTTCTTTGTTGCTTCTTTTTTCTTTAAAGCCATACTTTTTTATTTACCTTCTTTTAGATAGAATTTCCACCAGCTAATTAAGTGAATAGCCATGCCAACAAATTTACGGTTACATCCTGCTTCAGCTCATTTGTAAAACTACATGCACTTAATTGCGTAAATTCATCGAAAAATTTAAAATTGCCGCGGTAAAGTGTGGCGTATTTTCGCATGAACAGCTGAAGCCGCACTCCAAATAGAGTAAAGGTCAAAGAAGAAACTTAGAAAATTATTCTTCAGTTCCGATTTTTGCACTGATATGGGGGTGAGTTTGTCAATCGCCGTTATTTGTAACGGGTAATTTGGACGTATTAGTTAAAAAAATATATATGACCTTTAGGTCCTGTAGCAGATGTCAGTAAGAAAGGCATCTAAAGGCTATATTTCAGGGTTGAAAGTCATTATTTCAAAATCTATATACCTTACCTTTTTTTGTTTGAAAGAGGTCACTGAACTCAGTGAGCAGATTAGTTGTCGACAAAGGTGTGTGTGATGCTGACTGCATCGCGATGCTTTTGTGCTTTATGACCTCATACCATACTTAGCTGTAAGTGGAATGAAATAGTATATTTCAGGGCTATATAAGGAACCTCATGGGCCAGAAGGAATCGGAAATCAGTCGGAAGAACACCGAGAGTTTCTCGGCCGTGTTATATGAGGACATTTGTATCTGTGACTGTTGTTACTGTCTTAGCGCCGGAGCACAACACGCGACCGTTAATCCGGGTCCCACTGAAGAATTAAATCGTTTTATTGTACGTTGTTCTTTGTAGTAATTTGATAGAGAGCGCTCTTTGAGAATGTTCAGAGTACTTGTCCCAGGTATTGTGAGTATCAGGGATGGGCAATGTTATATAAAGGTCTGTTTGTTGTATCTATGGTTGCTGTACCTGACGTTTTACCGTTCAAAAAACATATCAACATGCTATAATCTAATTTTTGCACACTCAAAGTGGACCAGGTTCCGGTATTCTTTACTATTTATTGTCACTTTTAAATGTTCCTTAACATGCGTATGCTTTTGAGAATGAAAGTGCAGCGAACGCGAGCGGGGCCACCAAACATCAACCGGCCGATCACAGATCAGGAAAAAACAGTGGCGGATCCAGGGGGAGGGTCCGGGGGGTCCGGACCCCCTTATCAGAACTGACGCTTGTTTGAGACTAAAATTCTTCTATGGAAAGGATCGTGTGTCGCTTTTTAACTCAATCAATCAATCAATCAATCAATCAATCAATCAATCAATCAATCAATCAATCAATCAATCAAGCAATCTTTTATTTGCCACTTAATTACTAATGTATTGCATCTATAACATAATCTATTAGCGGGAGATCTCTGCAAGCTCAGCTGAGCTTTTCCTGGGAGGTCCCCTTTTTAATTTAAGCATCACAAACATTCGTATTGAATATGGTGGCCTTAACATTATTATTAAGCAGCAAGAGTATTACACTGTATATATGTTCCACTATGTAGAGTCAGTATATTTCTGTTAACAAAACATTTCAATTTTCTTTTAAACAACTGAAATGACTTAATTTCCTTCAAACTATTTGGCAAACTGTTCCATATCATAGTACCTCTATATATCTAACTGAGAAACGTCAATGATTAGTTCTTTCATACTTAATGCACACTTTGTTCGCGGACCTTGTATTATAGGATTGAATAGTATTACTCTCCGAAAAGTAATCTGAAAAAGATGGCGGCAGTTGTCCTCTAAAGTAAGAATACATGAATAAGGCCAATTGATAAGCTTTTAACTCTTATATGGTTAGTAAAATCGAAGAAAGGAATACAGGCCTTGTTTACTCTGTAAATTTCGAAATCTTTGCAATCTTTACAATTTTCCTTTGAACCTTAGATATACCCTCGAGCCTTGTTGGATAGGTACTGGCCCATACGATATTACAGTAAGTTAAGTATGGGTTAAACATTCTTGCAATATATGTATGTAACGAAACGCGCGTTGGATTTTGCTGCTAAACTTAATTCCAGGGATATTCAAAATTGTAATTGTTTTTGGGTACCCTCGTATGGTCTGTTCTCATCTGCTCGCAAAGCAGTAGGGAGCTTTAGCAACGACGACGGCGACAAGAACGTAGACAAGGAAAGACGAATGTTTCTTTCTCTTTGTAAACTTGAGTCCGGTCCCCAAGAAATCAACTCCAGGGCCACATTTGGCATTTTCAGTGAATTGAAATAAACGCTTCAAAGTTGGAAAAAAACGCTAATTCATTTTAAAAGTGACGTTTTCGCTGCCGTCGCCGTCTTCGATGCTAAAGCTCCCTAGTACATTTCCCGCGCCAACAGCGACCAGTGCTCACAGATTGACATGGTCGTCTCAGTCTGCGTTCTCAGCTGGTCGACAATTATGTATTCTTTACAAGTTGAATTCAAGTACACGGTAAAGGGCCAAGGAATTATAACGTGCAACCGCGACTGGTGGGAGGAGGTGCGGGAGGGGAGGGGGGGTGGTTTTGGGGAGAAGTTGCTACAAGAAAGTTCAACAGTCCTTTCTGAACCAAAGTCTGGACCCCCTCTCAATAAAAAATCCTGGATCCGCCGCTAAAAAAAGCATGTGTTGCCGTTGCAATAACTGTATGGTATTTTGAAAGGAGGTAAATATACATGTACAGTGGACTGCGAGCAGCCTCTAATTAAATTTCTCTGCAAAGTTACTCCACAATCTCCACGAGTAATCCATGCACACGAGCCGCAATCAACGAGGGCGTACGCCTGAGAAGAAAAAAAAATAAATAAATAAGAGATCGCCTATTCTCGTCTCTTCCTATATCCCTTATTGTGACGTCGTTATTTGCAATCGCGCTGGCTAGGATAAGAACTTAACGGATTTTAAGAGAAAAGGCGGACTGTAAGCAGTCTACATGTACAGTCAAACCTTTATTAACCGACAACTCCTTCCTGTAGCATTTTTAACATCCCTTAAGTAGACACGTTTCCTGGGCCCGGTTGCATAAAACCTACACTTAAGTGCCCACTTAAGTAGGTCACTTACGAATCCGTTATGGGTACACTTAAGTGTGTTGCATGGAACGCACTTAGCACTCTCGTAAGTTTCTGTTTTACGTTGTAACTCACGGGCTCACTTAAAGGCATACGTAACTTTGATATAGTACTTCATTAATGACTCACTTTTTTTTTTTTTTTTAAGCTAACCATCGGTGAGTGTAAAGAAAGTTTTAAGTCGTTTCGAACACTTTAAAGCCTCTCAAAAACATGAAATTTGCATGCAGACGTTATTTTTCTTCAATATCTACTGAAAATGATAGTTCTTCTTCTTTTTTCACATCGTCGGCTTTAAAGAGTACATCAGAGGTTAAAAAAGCGCATTAGAACGAATAACGTGAAGAAATATACTTTTTTTCACTTCTCAGTAAAAGATCTCCTTAAGTTTAGTAAAAACAGTAACGATACGGGACCTACATAGGTCCTGTAAATTTACGTGCTATTTTTCCCGTAAAAAAGGTTTTATGCAACACCCGCAATTTCTATTGCATAAACGACACTTAAGTGCACACTTACAAAAATCGTAAGCGCAACCACTTAAGTGAATTCCCCAAGTGGACCACTTAAGTAATTTAATGCAACTGACTTAAGTTACGAGTGCACGTACGCGTACCCGCAGTTGTTACGGGCGTTTTATGCAACCGGGCCCTGGGCCCCTTGCAAAGGTATTTTTTATAACTTTCAGGAGTTCGGCTGTCACTATACTTCTTAAATGCCCATGACAAGAAAATGTTTTGTTGTTGTTGTTGTTTTTTCTCTTTTTAGCTACAGGTATACTGATAGCGGTATCAGATAAGATACGATATAACAAGATATAACAATAGTTGTATAACAAGCTACTTTACCTAACATTTAAGCTAGAGTACTTGCTGAGTTGCACAATATGTCATCTATATTAATGTTATGGTCACCTGACCATGCCCAGCTGTTTTATAACAGCATTCATTCTGCTGATTCTTTCCAGTGTTGTAAGATCCTCCCCCTCCTCCACAGGAGTCACCCTCATTATCCCCACTACTTCCCCCAGAGTAGCCTCCTCCACCTCCAGCACCCCCTCCGCTTGAACTTCCAAATGCACCTCCCCCTCCTCCAAATCCTCCTACAGCATTGTTATACAAGGCTCTTCCACCCACTCCTCCCTGAAGAAATCCTTTGCCTCCTTCTCCTCCATTCCCCATTGAACCTCCGAACTGTGTTGAGCTTCTTCCACTGGAATAAAATCCACCACCGCCTCCACCTAAAATACAAATAACATTAAAAAACTCTTCACCTACAACAGGTAACATGCGCAGGCGGATTTCTTGAGTCTTCTTTAATTTTAAAAATAGCAATATGAATGTATTGGTAGAAGAAGATGTACCACCGTAAACCACTGAAATGCCTCTTTGGATTCTCAGGAAACCGGATTTCTTCCGAAAGGAGTTTGGGTCTCGATGTTACTTATCTTCTAAATACTAATTTGTCAATTATAAAGGCGACTACTACCCATTTTATTTAAGGTGCCTCGTACCAGTTTTCACCTTTTTTGGCGGTTTTACCACTTGAAAGTACAGAGAACGAAGCCGGCGATAACAACACTTTCTTAACTAACGGTTACCATGGCAACGTATCCTAACGCGTTTGGCATCCCTGCATTTCATTGAAAATCACTTGAAAGTAAGCCAGTGAACCGTATTTTTTACCATAGCTAGTTTGGCATTAGAGAAGAAAAATTCACAATGATTATAAAAAATTCTTCGAACGGATCTTTTGTAAAAGGAGAAAAATAGAATAGAATTAATTCATTATTTTTCTGTCGTTTCCTCCTAACTCTAGTAAAATATCAAGACAATAAAAAGAGGGGGTCACCGGCGCTGACTTCTAGTAAAATGCTTCGAGGTTTGAAAAATTCCAACTCGCGTTTCCGTGTTTGCGTCTGAACTCTGTAAGATCGCGGGTTACTCATGCGCTTTTTTTCTTGACTACCTCTGATTTTACCGTGTACGCTTACGGGCATCTGGTGATTTTTCTTACAGTCCTTGTAGAGGAGAGAAAATTACACGCGCGCATATTTGTGCGTTTTTATAAGGTTCAGTAAACCCGTTTGGTAGTCTGAAAATATAGCCATCTGGACTCACGTTTCAACATAAGTAAAAAAAAATCGAATTGGCATATAGACGAAATTATTTGAAGGAGACTCATGTCGGCTTAACTTTTTCCAAGTCAGTTTTCGTCACTCTCGTAAGAGCGCTACAGAGTAGCCGTGGAGTAAAACATGATTGAAGATACACTATATAGCCAAGAAAATAAACTATGGTTGACTGAGGTAGAACTCTGGCTTCTTGTTTTTTAAGTTTTGCTAGTAGTTAGGGCGAGTCCTTGCTTTTCCAACCCCTGTCAAGATCAATCACAGTTCACATGCGAGTATTCCTTTTGAAATTTACGCATTGAGCTTAGGTTTTTTCACTCTTGAAAATATGCGTTTAAGCAAAGATTTTACAGTATATATTGTCTGATAAAAAAAACTAATGTTATCTTAAACAAAGCTTACTGTTGAGTAAATCTTGAACAAAAGCAAACTTACACGAAAATATAGATGGGCGCCGCCATATTTGCTTTGTTTCTCTCGCGCGTACAAAGTGAGATGGGCTCGGGCTCGATGGGCACCCCACGCGAAGCAACTAGAAAAAGCCACCTTACAGTTTGCCAAAGTCAACAACCTTTAAGGTGGCTTACTACAGTTTTCGGTTGAAAACTATCGACTTTTTCAAATTGGAACATTTTTAGCAATTGAAGGTCTCTACTGAACTATTAATCACTGCGATTGGTGTAAATTATCATTTTACCTCCTAAAAACATTTAATTGCGCGGTATAACGCGAAACTGTGAAAGTGACAGAGCGCCCAAGCTTAAAAGACCTTTAAAGGCTAAGGTAAACGTTTTTAAACGTTTGTAACGTAAGTTTGATGAAGTTAGATTCGAAGGTTAGCATAGATAGCCACTGTCGGGGTGGCATAACTTAACTTTTCACACACTTAGCTTACCTGAGTTATCACTGTCAGCGGTCGTTGCTCCTCTTCCACCGCTCCCTCCTGGCCATGACCTGTACCCAGCATTCCCTGCTGTGCTTGTGGAAGCATCGCATCCTAAATGTCTTGATGTAGCAGTTTCTAAGCCACCACCTCCTCCAGCTACTATCAAAGTCGTGTTGCTTCCTCTCACTACAAACGTACCTCCTCCACCTCCTGAGCTTGACGCATTAAGGGTAACACTTCCCTGTTGACCAACGAGTATCTTAATTGTTTCTCCATTGGATAAGCGAAAAGTTCCTCTTAATCTGGCACCTCTGCCGCGATACTGGTCATTGCTTCTTATGCCATATCCCCCTGCAGCTCCTATTGCCTCTATTCTGTAGTTGCCTGTGCAAGGCACGGTCCAACGTTGAATACCGCTGAGCAATGTAACTTGACCGTCATGATCCTGACCACTGTAGTGACTACCAAGAGAAGTTGGACCCAGTCTTCCGCTTGCACCGAGGTTCGTAAAAACGGCATTGAAAGATACTGAAAAAAGAAGAAGATTCATTGAATATTAGTAAAATAATCAATTATCACTCACACTTACACGCTTTTATGCGAAATACTACTGTACGTTCTCCTATCCATGGACCCCGGGTGAAATTATTATTTATTATCCATCTCCTTGGAGTATATTTTCTGCACAAATTACAGCCCCAATTGTTCATATTTTAAAGTAGACGGTGTTATTTCAATAAGTACTAGTTGCTGAATTTTTATATAAACTCACCTTTGCATTTGTTAGAAGTTTGGTAAATCAGGCAGCCTATGTATTAAATATAGAGTAAGTTCTTACCAAGTACACATGTTGTACCATTACCTGTATATTTAGCTTTGCATGCACAGGAATATGATCCTTGGGTATTTGTACACACTGCGTTGACATCACAGCTGTGAGCGTTGCTAGAACACTCGTCCACATCTGAAAACGTGCGATAATATTTCACGTTAGTTTTTCATCTATCTGTAAGTTCCGTTCAGTCGTGTCTTTTTGCCGCGAATTTTAATTATGTTAATGTATTTTATTTGTTTTTGAGCACGTGACATAGTTGTAATGTAGTCGGTCACAAAATTTAGAGCCTAAGCGTCGATGTTTTCGCGTGGATTCTATTTTCTTCCTTGTAGCTTGATATTTCAGTTTGATGCGGTTGCATGAACAAGTTTTTTCAAGTATCGAGTATCGTCGATGAATTTGTATTTGCTCGGGAAGGGACGGCGAAAGGGAACGGTGGATTAAACAGGATTTACGAACGACGCGTGGACTAGTAATTTGTGCCGAGTGTGATCTTCTCGTCGAAGTATCCCACACCGTCTGATATGTTTTATAGAAGGAAGGAGCCAAAAACTACTTGGTTAAGTTAAGACTTTTAACTGGTATTTTCTCTTTCATTTTTCTAGTAACTTACCATCACATGTTTTTCCATCCCCTGTATATCCTGCCTTACACGAACAGGTGTGTGAGCCCGCAGTATTTTGACAAACAGCGTTGACGTCACAGCTATGAGAGTTCGTAGTGCACTCATTTATGTCTGAAAATAAACATTTGATGATGAATAAGAGTATGTTCAAACACAGTGAAAATTGACAACGCCATTATTTCACCTTCATGGTTAGCATTTTTTCGCATGCGAAAGGACATTGCAAGTATGTTGATTGTCAGCATCAACGATCATTTCAACGAAAATAAATACTTTACCGCAAGGTAAAATTGTGCAAAGTATGGCTCAAGATTCTCTACCACACAAGCCTTCACAAACCTTTGCAAGTTTTTCCGTTTCCAGAAAAACCAACTTTGCATCTGCAGGTATAAGAACCACGAGTATTCGAGCATTGAGCATTGACGTCACATAGCGGAGAAGAGGCAGTACATTCGTTGATATCTGAGTAAAAAAAAGAGAATTTTGATTAAAACCTGTCTTCACTAGCAACGCACGCACAAGTTTGCCTAAAACTTTTTAAAACACTTTATCACGTGTTAATAAACAAACATTGAGTCAGGGGCACTAACGACTGTTTTCCGTAAAATATCTGTTCGGGGAAGCAAATATTGCCTAGAATGTTCTATAGCTTGAGGGCGGCTAACAATTCCTAGTAGACCGTTTCATTCACATACAATTTTCGACGCTTATCTAATAAATTCCCCTACGACTTTCTTAAGTTCAATTTTTCACATTTCACGTCCCCAGGTTAGGCTATTTTTGTAGACAAAGGTAAAACCTGAAATTCTCGGATTCAATAATACGATGGAGAGAGGAATCAGAAAAAAATCTCACTTTCGTACTCGCTATATTACATTGCATCTAAAATTTTCGGTAAATTATAATCACTGAAGAAACTAAAGCTCTTGTAATTCGAAAAGCCTCAAGTTTCCCTAGGATGACCGAACAAGTACAAATTTTATAGCGCCGCTTAGAATGCATTTCTAGAGATCTAAAAGTACTCTGGACAGCCTAAAAAGCATTTTCAGTGTCTTTAGCTCAGGAAACCGTCGTTGGGTGCCCCTGTTGAGTTAACATTACAGAGACAACTGGGTTATAAAGGACCATAAAAGAGAAAAAAAAGAGAGAGATACAAGAAGAAATAGTTGCATGCATAGGGTAAGGAGACAAAGATATGAGTAAAGACAAATGAGTTGCCCTGATAAGTTGGCACTGATACTGGCAGTTCTGTGTGAGAAAGATTCAATAGATTTGTTGTGACTGACATTGACGCAGGCATTGACACCTCAGTCAAATCGCCTGTGATGCACTCCCGGATGATCTAATGCTGGTTGATATTCACAGGTCTTGATAACACGCAACTGGGCCCGGTTGCATAAAACCTGCACTTAAGTGCTCACTTAAGTAGGTCACTTACGAATCCGTCATGGGTACACTTACGGGTGTTGCATGGAACACACGTAGCACTCTCGTAAGTTTCTGTTTTACGTGGTAACTTACGGGCTCACTTAAGGGGACACGTAACCTTGATAAAGTACTTTATTAATGATTCACTCTTTTTTTTTAAGATAACCATCGGTGAGTGTAAAGGAAGTTAAAAGTCGTTTCGAACACTTTTAAGCCTCTCAAATAATGAAATTTGCATGCAAACGTTATTTTTCTTCAATATCTACTGAAAATGACAGTTCTTCTTCTTTTTTCACAAAAGTGTACATCAGAGGTTAACAAAGCGCATTAGAACGAATTACGTGAAGAAAAATACTTTTTTTCACTTCTCAGTAAAAGATCTCGTTAAATTTAGTAAAAACAGTAACGATACGGGACCTACATAGGTCCCGTAAATTTACGTGCTATTTTTCCCGTAAAAAAAGTTTTATGCAACACCCGCAATTTCTATTGCATAAACGACACTTAAGTGAACACTTACGAAAATCGTAAGTGCAACCACTTAAGTGAATTCCCTAAGTGGACCACTTAAGTGATTTCATGCAACTGACTTAAGTTACGAGTGCACGTACGTGTACCCGTAGTTGTTACGGACGTTTTATGCAACCGGGCCCTGGTTAGTAACTTCCAGCTCCTTTACGGAAGAATATGTGTACGTTCTTCAGAAATCTAACAAAAAAAATCTTGCACTCTCGACTCAATGTCAAAATCATTATTGGCCAGGTCCCTGGATGTGCAGTTGCCTGTTACTACCTGTATCAGGCATCAACCTGTCAATTGCGTCTGGTCTAGCCTGTTCTTGGACAAAAGGAAGAAAGGATTTGTCAAGCGTTGGCTTAAGTGCTGAATTCTGCAACCTATACTACTTGACCTGTCAGCAACCTTCAATTGTATAAAAACTGACTGAGCGGGATGTGTTTGATGAAAAACAGAACCACATGATGAATTTTGGCCTCTATCCACTTTTGCCGGTTACCGCTAGGGTTATAATATGGAAACCGCCTTACTCAAGGACCAAAATGACATGTTACTTAAATAAATAAACAAACAAATAAATAAATAAATAAATAAATAAATAAATAAATAAATAAGAAATAAAATAAGAAAATACAATCCCCAAATGAATTAATGATAGTCAAGATATAATTAATTAATTCGGGGTAGAAGCAAAAAAAAAATTGGGTATCATTTCGGAGTCGATTTATCATTTCGTAGGCTGTACAATTATATTTACCTTCAGTCTTCATATCGCAATAAGCGAGCAAAGGAATACCAGGTTTAATGGTACTCAGCCAGTACTTCTTGCTCTCTGCCTCCCCTTCACTTGCTTTGATTTCTTTACATGTTTCAGCTGGAAGCTCAGGAGTGGATCCAAGGGGAACTAAAGAGTAAAATGTTCCATTAATTATCTAATGGTTATTCTGAAATTAAATTGTCAGCATCGAATCGATGATCATTGCTAGAAACTTTGAGACATCAATAACATGCACGTTTGGTGAAGTTCCTTCAAGGAATTCTATAGTGCCCTTAATATACATGCACAAACGATGTTGAAAATAATCAATAATTAGCGACAAGTTGTACTGGAGCACTGTTTAAGTTAGGCCACATCTACTCGCCTCGATGCACGAAAATTGTCGGCTATCTACTGTAGAGGACCATGGAATGAAGAAACTGGTCCGTTCGAGGGAACTGAACTTGTTCTTAGGGCTTGGAGAGGTAATATAACTCTAATATATAGATTTAGGCAAGGCAAAAAACGAAGCTCTCGTAGAGAAACTTATAATTTACTCAAACGGAAAAAAAAAAAAAAACTTGAAACCACTGTGAAGAAACTTTTCAATTCTGTGCTTAACATTTGATACAGTGGAAGGACTAGCTGATTTACGGGAAAAATAATCTACAAGCAAACCTCTTGAGTCATTCTCACATAAACTATTAAAATGTCAAATTTGTGAAATGTTATTGCGTTTAAACAAAAGAAAGTAGACTGCATTTATCAAAATACAATGCAACGGCGACGGCAACGACTTTGCACGTGCAGTATACTTGCTTCTACATTTTTGCCGTTGTTGAACCTTCCTAGTTACACGTTTCATGGAGGAAATTTCGTATGTGTTCACAAATAATTTTTTGCTTAATTTTCTTTTTTCTTCACTGCTGCTCATTTTCACCTTACTCAGGTCGCTAGCATTTCTCATCTTCTCACCGCACTACATAATGTTCATGTTGTCCTTTCAACGAAATTCGTCTTCTTTGTTTTTCATTTTTAGCACTTTCTCTGTTATCCACGTCAATGTAAACATTAATTAAGATTTACAATTTTTTCATACGCATAGTGCTCCGCTATTAAAACCATGAATGATCATAATGTGAGAGACGAAGTAGACGACTGGCCGGAGTATCTTATCGCGGGACAGCAGCAGCGGCACCGATTTTTAACAAAATATAAAACTACAAACATTGAGGAGAAGTTTTAATAAAGCTTTTCCCGGCAAGACTAAAAGTAAACACACAAATTTTTCTTTTAGAATAACCTGCCAAATAAGGTGGTTTCTTGGCGTTGCGGATTGGTGCAATCACTTAGTGACGTAATACTATACAAACGAATGATTAGACACTAACCACAGAAGCGAACCAAGAATGGTTTCCGCGGCACTGAAGAAACACCCAATAATAGGGATGCCGATAATTAATTTTCGTTACAAGGTCTCAATCGCGCAAAATGTTGTCATTTTCAAGTTATTTTATGGCTGGACATGAAAGTTTGCGCATACATAGTACCTCTTTCTTAAAACGCACAGCCTTTTTTGTTGTCTGTTTTATATTGATCAGTTAATTTGTCAATTTTTCTAACAAATTAACGCCGTAAATATTCCTTGGAAATGATGACTGAAATTTAGATGTCTCCGGGTATGACGCCACGAAAATTGCACTGGGGTCCTTTAAAAACTTCTGTCAATACTGAGAGAATGATCTTAATAACATAAACTTCACCTCGATTCATGTCTCGCCTGTAGTAATATCTGTCTGGATCGGGAACAAAATCCTTAGGTCTGGCTTCTTTGGTTCTGTCGCTGAACTCACACATGTCAAGAGAGATCACCCAATTGAAACTTTGGCACCTGCTGTCCTGACGACAAATAAGTACGCACTCATATCCAAAGTTTGCCTTTAGCGTCTTGTAGACGTGATTTTGCAGCTTCCAACCCAAGATGGATTCCTCTGACCCACCATTGATGCATTGTTGACAGATTGTTTCAATGAATATATGAATCAGCATAAAAAGGAATGCGATACTAATGGTGTAACTCGCCGTCATTTTGACAGAACTGAAAAAAATGTCATGTATACAAAAAGTCATACTAGTAGAAACTATATTCTCGGAAAGTAATTAATTATAGTAGGGATGGTTCATCTGACCGATGACAATAACTTAGTAAGACTTATTTTAAGTAACCTAAGGACAAAGCTGGGGCCGTGGCTTTCCCTTGTGTTAATAAATGATTTAAATTTTAGCGATACCTTAAATTCCCAGTCATGCCATGGTAATATGTAGATGATACCAGGACTAAGGTAACGATAGCAACGCACATTATACAGTGATGTGAATGCTACGCGCGCTGTGATTGGTCGTTGCCTATGATCCATTGGAGTACACATACATGGATGGCGTCACGGAAACTTGTTTTCTTTTAGTTCTGTTCAACATAGAGAGCGGTTTTGAAAATGTTTGTGACATCATTTCGGATTAAAGCAAGTGAAAGTCTCGAAAAACAAGTTAGCAAGAGCTATTTGCAAAGAATAAAAATGGAGAAACGGAGAGAAAGAGCTCTTCACAACTTAAGAATGCCTAAAAACATCAGTGACACACTCGCCTGCGGCTCTGCGCCACTTCTTTGTTTTAACCACATTTTGACGTCATCTGTGATCTATTATTGAACAGACCCACGGCAATATGGAATCTCATTGTTTAACAATACTCGTAAAATTTCGTTGCACACTAGACTGAAACTGGGGTCTTTTTCAACTCACTCCTTCTCAACCAACTTACCCAACTTTTTTCCGTTTGTACTTGTTCTCTCCTTTCCCAATGCTTTGTGACTGGCATATATTTGCAAATGAGTGATAAGTGAATTGACATGGGGGAGGGCTAAACGTGACAAGTGTTTCAACAAATTTGACGAGTATTGTCAGTAGCCATTTTCCCTTTGATGATGATTTTTGCGCTTTTGGTCCAAAGGAAGACATGAACACAGATTTATGCGATTCCTTTTATTTCAGTTATGCAAGCTTGTTTGACCATTACTGCTAACTTCGTCCTTATTTCCTGGTTTTCCAGATCAGACAAATTTATGAAGCCTCTTCTAACAATACTTTCACTTGGTTGCTATTTACTTTAATATGCAGGTCTAACGTTTGGAGGCGGTGCTAGTGAAATCAGCTGAAATCCAAGGTGTAGACAATACAAATGAGACTTTTTTTTTTTTTTTTTTTAGGGGAATTCCACATGGTTTTTTTTCATCAATTTCGTAGTTTCTAACTTTTGTGCCCGCTCCTCAGTTATTTCAGAGTTTTTGCACTACCTTACTATTTAAGCCGAATTTTCTAGAGAGGTTATGTATCAAATCAAGCCTTCCTTAAAGATTGATTTTATGAATTAACCAGGGAATTAGTTGATTTTACAAACTGGATTGCTGGGCGAATTCTGGCGTCATCGACCTCACCCTTTGGAACAATTGTAGTGGCCACTTATTTTATGAAGCCACGTAGAATTTCTTCAAGTCTTTCTGTTTTGGCGTTCTTTAGTTTGTTAATGCCTGCAGCATCAATTATTCAAAACCTTTTCTCTAAAAGTTACTACTGCAAGTCATTAACGCTTCTACACTTGTAGATTGAATTTCCCCTTTCGTTTGTTGCATCGTTTTGCAGTCTTAAAAAGTTAAGCAAAAAAAAAGTGGAAAAACGGTTTGAAAATTAGCTAACTGAGAATTTCAGCGTTAACTTCGTGCAATATCCCTTTTAGTATTGCCATTCAAAAAAATTACAAATTAAAAAGTTCGAGGTCTTTAGCTGGACACGACCCATGTCACCCCTACCTCATGAATTAGCCATTTCAAAGAAATATAATTAGGTTTATATATTTTGGCAATTTTCGTTTCATGAACCTCATGTTCACATATAACCTTTTTTGTTCTTAACTGGAGGGTGTCGGTGGATGTACTCAGCGTTAACATTTTGGGTTCTGCGATTTAGAAAACCAAATTGATAGCTGTCGTCATTAAACAGTTTGGTTTACTCTCAAACTAGGTATACAAGCATAAATAGTTTAGTTCATGAAAAATATTCTCAGAGGGTAGCGGAATATTTGGATATAATTATAGTCTACCTTAGTGATTTTTGGATATCACTTACCTCGTGTTTTTAAGGCAGCATGCACCTTAAAGAATCTCTCTTGCTAAGGATGTGGCCAAAACTAGCCTCCTTTTACGCAGTTGGTGACTTTACTGTTTGAAAGGGTTTTGATAGCGCAACGTTTTTGCAGGTTATTTCCCCCTTCTCTCTTCAAACTAATCGTGACTGACGATTCTAAAAAATGTTATTTGAAACCTGAACCAAACTACTATTTAGCAAGCTTGCAGTTCACTTTGTGCAACTCAATATCGAGTGTTAATAGTTTGATTCAGCTGCTGCCTCAAAATTTTAAGAAGAGTAAATATTCACTCTTGCAAACGGGTCCTTGTTCAAATATAATTATAAGTTCTAATTAACTGCTTCAGAAAGTATCAAACAAGGAGGGCGGGCTCAGCTAAGCCGCAAGTAAGTGGATCATCTCATGTTTAACTTGTTTGACATTTTGAGATTGTTATTCTGGCAAATCTACCAAAATACTAATGTTTGTGGTTGCTGTTTTGAAAAATATTGAAAGTGAAATCGCTTGCCATATTAAGTTTTTGAAAAAAAAGTAAATGGATGAATGAATCAATCTTTAAGACTAAATTAACTAAGTTACTCATCATCATGGTACGTGATCGAACGAGTTGTATGCTAATCGGAATTTTCTAGTTCTACAAAGAAATGAAAGGCCAATAATTGACATTTTACGATCCTTGTTTCCCGGTCCGTTTTGTAAATGGAATTAGAGATCCTGTTTTCACCTCCCCCCAAAAGAATTGAAATGAGCTTTTTACCAAAAAATTCTGTTTTGCAGATATACAATTCCGTACGCGGATATTTGTACAGTCACACTCTTTAAATATATTGCCGTTTAGGCATTCATAGTAAATTTCACAATATTTTACGTTGACAGTGCAGTCGAGCAAATACGTGTCGGTACTATGGTTTTAATAAAAAAAAAAATAAAAAAAATAATAATAATAATAATAATAATAAAAAGAAGAAACAAACTAAAAGGAAAAAAAAAAAACTCGAGTTGCTCACGGAAAGCCCTTGCGGTGTTGACATGCTGATTTGAATGACTTAAAGTTCACTTCTGGATGACTCGTACCAAGAGAGAATGAGTTTTTGCTCGTACACTGGAGAGGCCAACGGTCAGGAAAGATGGCGGACGTGTCCGACGATGGTTCCTAACCCTTTAACATAATCATTTATTATTAACCTAAGTAAGGCTGCCCTATCTTCTTAGCCCTCAATGGTTATTTTGGGCAGCCTGTAGTCTCTTTTGACCATATTTTAGCTATTTTTTTTGTATCAATTGTAAATCAATGTAGGGTACAAATAAAGGTGTTGTTGTTGTTGTTGTACAGTACGTCAGAGAGAAAGGACTAGAGCTGGACTTGCATAACAGTTTGTTGGTTCAATGAGCCCGTCTTTGCAGTTGGTCATGATCGCGGGTCACCTAACATAAAAAGCGCTCTGCTAGAGAGGAAACAGCGCAGCGGAGTCAAAAAAAAAAAAAAAGGGGGCTGGAAATAAGACAACAACAACAACAACAAAAATAGCGAAACAATTCCACATTTCTCTCCTTTCTCCTGCCCATAGCCGCTTGCTCTTGCGTTCTTGCAGGGCTCTCTTCGCTCCCAATTTAGAATGGAGAGCTTACTCGCAGGCTTGTCTGAATAGTCTTCACTATCATCACATGCACTTTGGTGGGATGGGAACTGGGTAATTTTGAGCCCACACTACTGAAAAACAGTGGTGTGAATTTCAACATGCATGGTCACTAGTCTTATTTCTGTATTTCTTTGAAACCGTTCTTACTGCAACATTGTTTCCCATTTCCCTCATAGCCAGCCTTATATGAACACGTGTGTGAGCCCACGGTATTTTGACAAATAGCATTGACGTCACAGCTATATGGGAGTTCCCGCAGTGCACTCATTTATGTCTGAAAATATTATGGCGGCGAAACACACAAAAAAATGTTAACCGAAATAAACATTGACAACGCTATATTCACTGAGACGGCAAATATGCCGTTAACAGACCTTATCCCGCATTTTTCGTAACAAATTCAGTATACCATTTGAATGACGTCATACTGCTGATGTTGTTCTTCATAACGTCGAACCATTTTCCTTTTAAAAAGAAGCATAGGCGCGCCTCTAACACGACCGATGTTGTCTTTTCAGAGAGGGTGGATAAGATGCATTTCCTCCCATCAAAATACCCGTATGTCACGCCCTTTTAGGTGGAGCTTTCCAGGGAAGTTCATACAATGGTTTTCAATAAGATGAAAATTTAGAAATGAAATTGTTTCATTCATAAATCCATATTAGATATCGTCGGATACCCCTGAAACGAATTAGTGAACATGGGTGTGGAGGGTCTTTTACGATTGCATCAAGGATCAATCCTCAGTTTAGGACCATAATTTGTAATCTGTACAGCACCGAGGCCAGGTGAATATTCGTAAAGCTTACCAATGACCTTTTTGACTTAAAACTTAAAATTTCACTGCAAAAGCTGGTCTACCACCTTTACAAACCTTTGAAAGTGTTTCCTTTTCTATAATAACTACCTATGCATCATTCTGCAGCTATAAGACCTATGCGTATTCGAATACTGAGCATTGACGTCGCATAGGGTAGAAGCCAGCAGAGCATTCGTCAACATAATTTTATGTCGTGAGTGAAAAAAAAAATAATAATAAATTGTCTTCACTAGCAAGACACGCACAATTATTTTTCCAAAAAAATGTTTATAAAACACTTTATATCATCAACCCTAATTAAAAATTTACAACAAAAACAAGCCTTATAAAAGCTACCTGCAAACAGACGCAACAACAACTCTCAACATTGTTGGAGGTGACATTGGTGTGCAAACGGAGCAACAACATGCAATCGGGTGTGCAACGGACGCAACATGTAGCATCCAGCAATGTTGGGAGATGTTGGCTGGCAACAATGTTTCGTCAGTTTGCACGGGGCTTTATGTTAACAGTACAAAGGCACAGACTTGGGTTATAAAAGATCGTAAAAAAGAAAAAAGAGGGAGAAAAACGAAAGGAATCATATTGGTTGCATTATGGAAAGAGAAACAAAGATATGAGTAACCTTAAATCGCATAGTAGCTTATGCGGATGATTTTGTCACTGAAAGGAAAAGCATCGCAAGCCTTGACAGATTTGATTGTACTCAGTCTAAAATGAATTTTGTCTTCTTTCCTTTGAATTAAACCTTCAAGTTTTTCCCCGATACTTGTAAGTTTCCCTCCACATCGTGGTGCGTGTATTGCATTTTTCTCTGTCTTCATTAACGAGAACATGCAGCGTCGATCAGGGTCTATTATTCAAGTTCAGTGCCGAAAAGCTCCTTTGTATCCGTTTCAGACTATAGTTCAATGTGTGTCGAAACTGACTGAGCGGGATGTGTTTTATCAAACACAAAACCACATGATGAAGTTTGGCCTTCATCCACTTTGTCCGCCCGAGTACCGTCAGGGTTATAGTATGGAAACCTTCGCTTTACTCAAGGTCCAAAATGACATGTTCCTTAACTTATTATGCACACAGAGTCACCGAGCTCGTGTTCCTCGACTGATAAGATAAACATAAATATAGATGGTAAATAAAGAAATAAACAAAAGAAATGAAATGAAATAAGAGAATACAAATCCCAAATGAAGAAATAACAGTCAAGATATATGACCTTAAAATATTTTCAGAAGCAATTTTTTGCTCTAACAATTATTTTGCTCATGCGAGAGTAGCAAGCGAAAGGAGATGCTCGCCATAAATGGAGAGCTCCCCCGCTCGCTAGCTCTAAGAGGAAAGGAGAACTTATGATAGATTTTTAAAATTATTTTCCTTCAGTCTACTTATCGCAATATTAAAAGCGAGCACAGAACCAGGTTTAATTAATGGTACTCAGCCTGTACTTCTTGCTCTCTGCTTGTCCTTCGCTTGCTTTGATTTCTTTGCATGTTTCAGCTAGACTACGAGTAGTCCCCCATTTTTCCTCAGGGATAGTAGAGCGAGCGAAACGCGAGCGCGCGTGAAAATCACCCCACGCAAGTTCTCGCGTGGGGGGATTTTCACGCACGCTCGCGTTTCGCTCGCTCTACTATCCCTGAGGAAAAATAGGGGACTACTCGTAGTCTATGTTTCAGCGGGCAGCTCACGAGTGAAACAAGAGAAACTAAGAGGAAAATTGTCCGTTAATCATGTAATAGTTAATCTCAGGGGCGTAGCTAGCGGGGAGTTCTGGGGTGCCTGTCATCACCCCCCTTTATGAGATATTGTTTTATATCTCCATAACTCAGGTGTCGAAAACGCGTTAATCCGAAAAATCAACGGCAATAAATCTGGTAAATAGGCTTGTCCCTCCCTACGCTCAATGTTCATCCAAAAAAATGCCACTTTTAGCAAAACATAGCGTGGATGTCGACATGCCAATCTGGTAAGCAACCTGGGTCTGACAAAGTGTTACTCTCTCATGCCTCCTTTGAGAAAAAAAAAACAATATACACGTTTGGTGAGTTTTTTCAAAGAATTCTATGGTGCCCTTCTTCAGATTTGTATGATACAAACGATCTTGAAATCACTCAGCGAGATAATGTACTTAGACTTGGCCGGAGGGCCGCATCTACTCATGTGAGCAAGATTTTTGAGCAAGTATACATGTATAATCCTGTCGTGCTAAACGAAAATTGTCGGCTTTCTAGACGACCGTTGAACGAAAACTGGTCGCGGAAACTGATGAGATGCGGATTTGCAAGGTAGTTCTAAAGACGACCATGCATGAAAGACGAAGTAAACGAGTGGCCTGAGTATCTGGCCTATCAGACAACAGCATATATTTTAAACAATTCTAACAAATTTTCAAACTTTACGGAACAATGAGGATAACTTTTAATCTTGCTTTTTCCGTTATGACTAAAGTTAAACAGATCTGTTTTTTTTGTAGACTTAGCTGCCAAAAAATAAGGACACAGGGCCTAGTTCCTCGAAAGATAGTCAGCGTTAAGCCAAATTTTAAGCAAGGGTTTCTTGTCTAAGAATATGTAACTCGACTGGAGCTTACTAGTAAATGCTCTTGAGCCTTTACACCGAGATACAGGTAATGATACTAAAAACACAAAACATTACTCTACGCAATAGATAGGACTAAGTAAATACCAAGATGGAAGAAAATTTAGTCCTGGATTAGCACTTATCAGCGTTTCAGGAACTTCGATGTTTCATTTTTACTGCGAGGTCTCAATCGCGCAATCCACATGGTTCTCATGAAATATCATGAATACATACCACCTTTTAAATGCACTATTCCAACAGAATTTTGTAGAAAAGGTAATGTATCAAGTCCTCCTTGGAGTTTGATTTTATGAATTGACCAAAGAGTTCTTTTAGTGGAATTTACAAACTTGCCGGGTTTGCAAATCTTGGCAGCATCTTTCACCCACTGGAATAATTTTAGAGGCCATTTACTGTACAAAGCTGCGAAAAATTTCTTCAATTCTTCTGTCTTGACATTGTTTAGCTTGTTAATGCCCGCAGCATCAATTATTCAAGACAAAGGCTTCTGCACTTAACAGATTATCGGTACCCCTTTTCATTTGCTTCATCGTGTTGTAGTCTTAAAAAGCTAAACACAAAAACATGAGGGAAAAAGGGTTTGAAAGGAAAAATTGGGGGAAAATCAAGTTAAGTAAGCGACTTGTTTTAAGAAAACAACAGTCTCAAGAGAGCCAAGTCCACGAACCAAGAACTTACCATCCCCTCCGAAATGCGCCTTGACTAGTTAATCACTAACCCTACAGCTCTGCAATTAACATTATGATTATCTGTCAGAGCAATGATTTGGCTGGGATAGCCCTCAGGAAAAATTTCTTGACTTTTCACTTTCTTTCTTTTCTCTGACACAGAACTGCCACTCACCCACCCACTGTTAGGTCTGGGCCTGGGCTATCTGCTGACACCTAGCAGGACAGCAAGCCGACCTAGATTATTATTCGGCTACCCTGGCTTGAACACGGGTGATGTAAGTATACAAGGGAAAACCTAGCGGGCACCTTTTAGCAAATTCACGCTATTTTATATTTTGGCAAGGGACCAGGCTTCCGCTTTGGGGGAAAAACGAGAAAAAAATCGGCGACCAAAGCGAGTTTTTTTTGCCTTTTTCCCCTACTACGGAGACTGGTCCCAGGCTAATTTTCATAAACCCCATGTTCACTTGCAAACGTTTTTGTTCTAAACCAAATGGTCGCGATGGCGGATGTACCTCAACTCAAAAATGTTGGGCTCTGCGATTTAAGAACTCAAATCAATAGCTGTCGCAATTAAACAATACGGTTTACTCTCAAACTAGGTATACAAGCATAAATCGTCTAATAGACGTTTTTAGCTTGTATGTTTTGTTTTCCCATTTCAGACCATGTGATGGTACCCCAGAAGAATTGTTTTTCTCAAATGTCATTATATGCCCGTGCACCCACGTGCATATGTATGCATACTTAATGAAAAGACAAAATGCAAATTCCCTGGAGAACATCACGTGGTCTGAATTAGGAAAACAAAACATACAAGCTGAAAAGGTCTATTTATGAATCTCAGAGGGTACTGAAATATTTAGAATAGTCTACCTTGGTAATTTTTGCATATCACTTACCCGGTTTTGTAGCTAGCACTAATGAAGGATCTTTCTTCCTAAGGATGTCGCCCAAACTCAATTCCCTTTACGCAGTTCATGACTTGACTTAAAGCCTTTGAAAGCGCAGCTATTTTAGGAGGCTCTTTTCCCCCTCTCGATATCTTGAAAATGATTTATAAAACCTTAGCTCAAGTGCTTACAGTATCCAGACTGCAGTCTGCTTTCTGCAGCTCAATACCGGTTTTCTGGGTCTCCTGTGTCAGAATTCGAATTGTAATAGATAGTCACTCTCTCATGCCGGTTTGAATTGCGGTTTAATTTAATTTAGTACTTTAGTGAGTATCAGGAAGAAAGAGAGGTTGGTATATGTAAGCTGTTAAGCAATCTTTAGGTGGACCATGTTTGATTTCTTTGACATTTTTTTAAGAGTTATTACAAATCTACCAAGAAACTATATTAAATGTTGAAATGTGAAACTCTTTGCCCCTATTTTTGGGAGAGCGGGAGAGAGAGGCAGATTCATGCGCGTATTTGCTACGATCAATGGGTATTTGCTACGGTAGCAAATACTCACTAGTAGGTATTTGCTATCTAAGTGAGTATTTGCTACCGTAGCAAATACGGAGGATGGGTATTTGCTACTCGAGGTAGGTATTTGCTACGTAAGTGAGTATTTGCTACCGTAGCAAATACGTACAGAAGGTTTTTGCTTCAAAACTAGGGACTTTGCAGCTAGTAAGAGGTACTTTAGTACCGCTGCAAGAATTCATGTTAATAGCCAGCGTTGCAAACTATTTTTAAAATACATATATAATTAAAGGATTGATTAGGGCCAAAACATGGTTCAGCATGGAGATCGTGGTTTGTGTGGAAACAACGCTTGGCCGGTGAAATTATTTTTGAAAGCTGTTTTAAAGAGGCAACCCGTGTAAAATAATATATGGTTATACTAAAACTTAACTCTTAAAACTAATTTGACACTTAACGGGAGAAAACAACGGCTTCTTTAAAAGCCACCAAATTTTAAAAGACTCTACCAACAGATACCAAACACACCTGATTGGTCTAGTAATAAACCGAGCCGTGAGCTGAAGAACCATCACACCCCGCGGTAGGTAACTGGTGTAACTATCATATAGTGATTTCACATTATTTTATATAATATGCAATGTAACTGTTCCCAGCTCTATACTAAATAGCGCTTCATAGCCCTATATAGACCTACATAGCCCTACATGGCCGTTAATACTGCACTCGTCGCAGCATCTACAATTTGCATTTTGACGACATGCAGCGAGCGCAAATCCAAGTCAATGGTGCCAGCCTCCGCGCGGCTAAAACTCGTACTCCAGTCGTACGCGGAGTCTGGTCTAAAGGCCAGAACAAAATATGTCAATATATGTCACATCTTTTTAAAAAAGAAATTTATTCTCAGCAATGTTTCATCTAAGTTAGTTTGCAGGAAATAGTGAACAAAAACGTTGCATTTATACGTTTCACCACTTTGGCGTTTCAGTTTTGCCATAATAGATAGTTTTCTATTTTTTTTTTAATTTTGACGGAAATAGTACTGTAATTGATTGCAGGGCGAGTTTTCTCTGAGAAATACATTTCGTTAATTGTATATATATATATATGTATTGTATATATATGTATATATGTATTGTATATATATATATATATATATATATATAATATAATATATATATATATATATATATAACATACAAAAAAATAAACAAACAACTGTTTTTAGGTAGTAAATTAAAGACAAATTTTTGTATTGAAATGTCGCTGATTAAGGTGCGTTTTCTTCGTAATAATAATTCAGTTACAGTCAGAGGTACCGAAGATGTTGAAAATATTATTTATTGTATTACATGTTTTAAAGTATTGTAAGTTGTACTTCTGCGGGCTTCCACTATCTTAACGAAAATCACTTTAATTCTGCATTACGTAGGATTTAACTTCGGAACAGAAGGAGAGCAATGAATGACTTTCAATCTTCAAAGTATTATTATGAGCGTTGAACGAACCTCAATTAAAAAATGTGTTGATAACTGCATTCTGCAATGAGGATACATTATAACTTCCTTTTTTTCCAAATTCATCAGGAAATTAACATTATGTTATCCGTGAAGACATCGATTATGTTCGTTACAGAACTACATTGTTACCGGTATAACAAGCTATTTTAGGTAACAATAAGCCCACACTACTTGCTAAGTTACAGTATGTAATCTATGTTAATGTTATGGTCACCCGACCATGTCCAGCTGCATTATAACAACATTCATTTAGCTGATTCTTTCCAGCATTATAGGATCCTCCCCCTCCTCCACAGGCATACTGGAGATTATCCCCACTACCTCCCCCAGAGTAACCTCCACCGCCTCCACCACCTCCACCGCTGCCACAAGCACCACCGCCTCCACCAAACCCTCCGTGGACTTTGTAATACTGGGATCTTCCACCAACTCCTCCTTGAAGAAATCCTTTGCCTCCTTCTCCCCCACTCCCCATGGAACCACCAAAATGCCTCGAGCTTCTTCCACTGGAATAGAACCCACCACCGCCGCCACCTAATTAACAATAAGCAAAGAAAAAGCTTTAGTTCTAACTACTCTTTGATTAGGCTTTAGTTATAATATGTGGTTAGCCTTTATCAACCGCATAAACAACTTATGAAGTATTTAGAGGACAAGCATCAATATTTTTAATATTTGTCCAGCCTTTGCCAATAGGCGGCTGGCTGGGTTATCTATTCTATAGCCCCGGCAGAAATGCTGATTGCCTTTGTCGTTTTCTTAGAAAAAAGGAAAATCCAATTTGTAATTATTTGGAAAAGCGCAAGCAAGATTTCATGGACAATCATAGCTGACATTTCTGATTTCTGCATTGTAATCCGGCCAGTAGAGGTGCAATCGATACATGTAAAAACCGATATCGGAAAACCAATCAATAAATCGATAACTATCGATAATCACTTTTTGATTGGTATCGATTGTATCGTACCCTGGTCCAAGAGGTTTTTTCTTGATATTTTTTCTCTGCGTGATTGAGAACGAGCTTAGCGAAGCGGCGAGAAGGAGAAAAACCCCTCATGGACTTGAAGCTCACTTTCACGCAAACCACAGGGTCAGAATCTGACCTTCGGGGCTGATTGGTTGATAGTTTAAAAACAAAACAAAACAAATCAATTTGATTGATTCGAATAATTAGAACTATACCGAGGGAAAGACAGTTGTGAAAATATTGCATTGGTAATTCGTGCAAGAGCTGCATACTTTTACATATACACTTTCAAGATTCAGGTTCCACTTTGCTTGAAATGGATGCTGTTCCTGAAAGAATCTAAAGAGTAGCCTGCGAACAGGCTCCCAAGTAAGGGCGAAAGACAAATGGCGAGCGAAGTGAGCCGAGCTTGGCCTAGGGGAAAATGGCGGCTTCGTTTTGATGCCGGCCGTCCATGATACCAGATTCTGTTATCTGATTGGTCACATCGCTGACTGTCGACTCATTCCGCGAAACATACTCACGTGCGCGGGAATGTAATTGAAGCTGATGCATTCAAGTGTAAAAAACATGATTTGACGAGGGAATTATGTTTTGTCTCTACCGTCTTCGAAAACTGCTTCTTTACTCCTTACTCTTTACTCGTTTTCGATTAGGTCTAATTACCTTATTAGCATGTTATTGACGCATGTGTTGCAAGATAATTGCAAGTGGGCGGATAGATGGCCTCAAAACAAAGTCTACAGGCTCCACCTCCCCACTTTTCTGCCCTAGGCCAACCTCAGCTTTCTTCGCTCGGCGAGTTTCTTTTTCGACCCGCTTCACTTCGGACCCTGTTGGCAGGTTTATATTAGAGGAACAACAACAACAACAACAACAACAACAACAACAAAACTTTTATTCACACATTTTAAAGATACAATACAATTGCCCTACAACTGAATATTCGAACTCGGTACTCGAGGAGCACTTTGAAAGTCTCACCCAGCATCAAAGTAAGTACTTGAAAGATTGTGTTCGCCATACCGCCAACAGGACAAATTAAAAGAAGTCAATTGCATTTCAGTTGCTGGTCACCATCAGTACTTGATTCTACAAATCCTGTAATAGTCGTTCGGAGAAATTTTGGTTGATTTTATTGGACATTCTTTGCCTGTACACATTCTAGCAAATAACACGCGCAAGGTCAAGTGGTAATAATAAAAATTATTGTAATCACTCTTCACCACCTAAGTAGAAATGGATTGTTCATACGAACAATTTCCCCATGTCTACCTTACTAAAAAGAATGGCGGCTGATAAGCACATGATAGCGTGTGTACAGAAGCCCCCTTCCCTCCAAAAAAAAAAAAAAAAAAAAATATATATATATATATATATATATATTTCACGCTCTA